AGTGAAAGTTTAGAATGATTAGTTTGAATTTACACTTTTCCTTGTTGTGTCATATTTAACATTGAATAAGGATTGCAATGTTTTTCAATATTTCTTACAGTACTGTGAAGATATTTGAGATTAGTTTTCTAATTCAGTGAATGTCACTGCAGCTAGAGGTGTAAGCTGACGCCTCGGTTGGCGGCGACAACTCAGGAATATTCTGCTGTCGGCGGCCACGGCTTAAAAATAATTTTTTTTGGTTCATCAGTGGCGATGGCTCAAAATCTTTAGATGCTATTTTAAAAAATTTTCTTAGTTTTGAAAATTATGTAACAAAAAAGAGGAAAATGATAATATAGTGTTAGGTGCTGGACTAACAGCGAGATGATATGACCACAGAACGGAGAAAAAGATAATCCTTTCGTGAGATTCGAACCATACATCGTCTGCTATCCAGGCAAATATACTACCGTTTTACTAGAAAAGACAACTTAATCTCCGTTTAGAATTGTAGGGGACCACTACAATACTAACATATAGAACGTTCTTATTAACAATCAGATCAGAAGAATCCAAAATACTGTTTCCGAGTATCGAAAATATTCAAAAATTTAATATTTCTGCTTATACGACGACGACAGCTCGAAAATTAATAATTTTTGTTTCATCGACGGCGGCAGCTCAGCCGCTTGGCTTACACCTCCAATTGCAGCTTTTTCTTTGTCAGATCATCAAAACAAAACATCATTTCAATAGCTCTGGAGTGGTGAATTTTGCTTTTTCTATGCCTCTTGTTGAATCGTAAAACCTTGAAGTCATCATATGTATGTAATTCAAGATGGTGTTCACTTTAGTAGAGAAATTCTCCGTGAATAGGTTTTCCTATTGAAAATTTTCTCATTATCTTATAGCTTATTCTATTAAAATTACCATAATAGAAAGAGACATATGACTTGTTTTGAACAAAGTATAGAGGTCTACGTAATCCATTAATTGTGTATTGCACATTATTAAAATTTGCGCTACTTAAAGAAATTAGCTTTCGGAAGAGGAATGGAAATGACTCTCGAGGGTATTCAATAATTGAATGGTAATCTTACAGAGATTTTTAACAAGGCTGAAAATTTCACGAACCGAATTTTTAATCCAAAAAACATATGATATTAAAAATAGTTGCTACTTAAACTAAAGTATACATCCATATGGATTCAATAGCTAAAACATTTTATGTATAAATATGACAATTTCTAAAATAGTTGTAACAATTTAAATAGCTATAAGCAGTTTGAAATAGCTATATGTTTAATTAAAAAATAGTTCTTTTGAGAAACTACGTCTCATATGAACTGAATTTTCTATGGATTCATAAATTGATGGCGTACTCAGTATGGATCACTGGTTAATCTCGAAACCTCGTGCTAAAGCGTTTCAAAAGAGTGATTTATCGAACCTATTAATACAATAGTATGTATACATCTTGGTTTTGTTTTTGTAGTACACAATTATTCAAACATAACGCTGTTCTTAAAAAAAACGACGCTCGTATAAACAGATGCATTCATTTTATTTCAAGTTATATATGTTGTGGTTCGTTCAAATTTAATTGTAACAAAATAATTTGAAAACAAAATTATAGCATATTTATTCTGAAATGAACACTATATATATATATATATATATAAGGATATGTGTGATCGAGTATTCACAAATCTATTTTCTGCAACGTCAACGGTTTAATCATCACTTTATAATATCAGTTCTACCTATTAGTTATAAATTTGCTAATATAATCTTAAATACAATAGAGTTATGTGAAATATAGTGTCAAATAAAACTACTAATGTCGTAAACAGTATCCGTGGCACCTGAATATCACTTTGATCCGTTTTACAGCTTGATAAACTAACTGAGAATCTTATGAATAAAACGAGGTAATACATATCTATAGTTAACAAATAAAGAAAAATTCTGAAATTCTATGTCAATGTATGACTGACTAATCAATAGATGAACAGGTCACTGACATGATACCTTACATATCACTTATTGACTAGTAGAGATATATTTTGAAAACTGTTTAATCTTGAAATCAATCAATAGTAAAGAGTATTCATCATTGGCAAGTTTGCACCTAACAGATCATAGGCGTGACATTAAATACGAATGCAACCTATAAAAATTGAGTAGAGATCGCAATAGGTTGATGGTATCTACTCGCATTATTTTGATAAACCATAAACTGGTAGATTTTTGTGCATTTAATAGTTTATATGTTGCAAGTATAGAGAAAAAAAGTTTCAAATAACGAGTCTTTGTTCATATACGGTGTGCAAATCATATTCTTAAATATGTTTCATAAGATATACTGATTGATCGATATTTCGTTCTTTTTATTCATTTTGAATTTGAAAAACATAATGTATTTTAAATTACTTAAGTTTTTGTGTAACTCACATTTATGTTCGACGAAATTGAATTTTGTAAGTTAAAAAGAGAAATTTCTGCTCGTTACAAACATTATGGCGTTCACGCTTTAACTACTTAAATATTACACAAATTAAATTGTTATTTCTACCGTTGTTATATGGCAGATTATTTCAAAAACAAAGTATGGGGTGTCTATTAAAGATGCAAGCCAATACAGAAACCTTACTTTCAGATATAAGCAACTACACTGTAAAAAAATCCGTAGAATACTAAACCCAAAAAGGGTTGAGTATTCTACGAATTTTTTTTATAGTGTAGGGCTAGGTAATATTCTACTTGCAAATCTTTGAAATAAGATACATTTTTACAAAAGATTTATCACTTAACCTATATTACATTAATTTAGCAAGCCTACAGAATATATGCGAGTTTCAAATTTTAGTTCCTGAAGGACTGTACTGATAGAAATTTTTAAACAATGTTAGATAACTTGCTTTCCCTATTATTATTCGAGATGAGTAAGAAAACCATATTTAACATAGAAAAAATTAGCAAAAACTACGATCATTTTCTGAAAAGTAAACTTGAATAATTTGATGCTTTAGTCATTAGCTAAAAATATTTTAGTATACGGCCTTTATTTTGCTATTATATTTACATTAAACCGAGATATCTTATTTATAATTGACAATCGATACAGAGAAAATTTCCTGTGAACATGTATATAAACAAAGAGAGCTCTAATATTTTAATCGACCCAACATTAAGAATTTGAATTAAATGTATGTAAAATTCGAGTATAAAAATAAGAAACATCAAGGCAAAAGTTTTCTAATAAGCAAAATTTAATCAAAGAAGAAAAACAAATGAGTAAAATAGATAATTAATTTATTCTGCTACTTTAGTTACTAATAGTGACTCACTATTAGAATGATTGTATTGTTCTACGTTTAGAATATATAAAACTTACTTCATTTTTCAAATTCAAAATAGAACATTACGCAAAATAATAAAGCAATCTACAACAGACGACGAATTGATGCAGTTTTGTTTCACAAAGAATCGTATTAATGTTTTAAAAAGCAGAATCATCATTTTGAACGATACCAAAGCTTTTAGAAACTAGAGCTAGTATACTCGCATGAATCTACTAAAAAGACAGCGTGTCTTAAAATGATAAAAAGCAGAGTATTGCTTGTATTAAATTCGTGTTGGATATACTTAGCTATTGCCAACGGTTGCCATCGATAAAACGCAATTCAATAGTAGCGTATTGTATCATGGATCATGAAAAAGTGACTGATGCTTTATAGAAAGTAACATTTGCAACTGAAGATGTCAATTAAAATAAAATTTTCAAGTGTTATGTTTTGACTGATCTTTTATTCTAATGTCACTGCTAAGTGACATCACTTAAATATAAAAATCTATCTAAATCTTTTGAAAAATTTCCATTTTCTTTACAGACAATCAAATGATGGCTACTTCCCATTATGATTTCATTTCGCTTCTTCTACTATATCGATAGAACGCGCAAATTTCTTATACAAAAAAGGTCAAGTGTACCCAGCACATTCTATTTCTTTCAAAATTCGTGGTATAATGCATACAATCATTAATTAAACGATGTACAATTACAATATGTATGCCAATGAATCCAAAGAAGACAAAGAAAGAAGAGTTGATGGATTCGGTCTACAAAATTTAAATGATAAACTATAACAAATGAACAAAGAAAGTAAACAGAATAGGTCATTTAAAAGACAAGCAATGTCACAGACGCAGCGAGATAGTGGAAGCGACGGATCGATTAACTTTCTCGATAATAGACAAAACAGATACAGTCCCAGGACGAGCTTTACGACGTCCGCATACGGTGAAATACGGGTCGTATACGACCGTGTATGTTCGACCTGGGGTACGACAAAAAAAGCATTACATTAATCAACAACGAAAAATACAACGTAGCGATGATCAATTTAATGAAAAAAACAATCATGATGATGAATCATACGAAAACGACAACAAAAGAAGAACCAATAGCTATAAGATCATATTCAAGGAAAACAAAGACAAACGAATATATGGACGTTCTATTGGATTACGATAAGAATGACACAGATCAACAGCAACAAAATAACATGACAAATAGCTGTTCATATCCTGTGAACAATCAGTCGTTACTATATGCAACGGATACGCACCTAACCCCCATACAAATTAAATGCAATCCAGCATTTATAAATAGAAACGATGCATTATTATTTGTGAAAGAATTCTTTAGAAAGATAGAAAATTCTTTTCGAAACAAATATACTGAACATAAAAGAGCACTTGGCTTCGATTATTGGTGGATAAATCAAAATGGTGATCCGATGGGACTTGTCAAGGATATATCTTTATAGGTTTATCTATGCGACGTGAGGCATTATCCGCAACAGATCGATGCATTCCAACTAACTTCATTACTACCTGTTCATCTATCCCTACAACATGTAATAATAATTAAATTCGTTCCAAATTATCATTCATTGATTGATATTGAAGAAGATCTCAAAAAACGCTATACATCGATTTATCATATTGACGAAATGAATGGTACAAGGAGAACTCAGAGTAGGCATATTAGAATTGATATTTACAATAAAGATGAACAAACCACGTTACTGAACAGTGGAATAATTACATTGGGTGGAATGCAATGTGAAATAGATGAATATCTTCCTGCACCAAAAAGACTAGTATGTATGAAATGTCATGTTCCGGGACATGCAAGAAAAACATGTCGCTTCGATTATGAAAGGTGTCGACGATGTGGAAAAGATCGAACAAAAGGCAGTCACAAGGAATGCAAAATTTTATGTCACCACTGTGGTGATAATCACCAAGCAACGGATTATAAATGGTCAGTCTTAAACAAATTCCGTCGTGATCTTATTGATGAATTACGTAAAAATCCAAATAAATTACCTCCGGATATGCAAATGTTCATCCCACTCGATTGTCGAACTCAAAGATCTGAAAAAAACCTATCTAACCAAAACACAAACAAATCAAAAAAATCTGATCCAGACTTTGCTTTCTTCAACTCATCTTATGACTGGCCAACTCTTGGGAAAACTTTAAACTCTATTACTTATGATAGTCAAATAAAAAATGTACAAAATGACCTTACAACTCTTAAACATGAATACAAACTTGAAATTGAAAAAAATAATAATAAAACACAACACCATTCATTGCGCACTCAAAAAGAAATAAGTGCTTTTACCTCATCAATCGTAAATGATTTAACATTAAATATGAATATTAACGTAATAAAAATGATAAGTAATTTTCTCAATTATTAAATGATGCTACACACGACGAACAACAAAAAAACAAATTAAACATTTGGCAAAACGAATTAACAAACCAACAACAATACATGTTTGAAAGACAAACAGCATTTAGTAATCACATACAAAATCTCGACAAATTATGGTTCAAATAATCGAACAACATCGCTGAATTACTCGACTCATGTTTAACTATTAATAATAATGATCAATAACGACTTTAAATTCTCATCGACTCAAGTAAACATTGATTTTGTAAATAACTTTAAAGGATCTCAGAAAGAAAGTAAAATGTTGGTCGAGATGATAAATGAATGGAATTAACGGATAGGTGTTTCAGATTTGAGTTCAAAATGGTTTAAGGAAAGACCTGTACACTTAGAGGATAATCTTCTTTTCATATTATACAACTGCGAATGTTTAAGTACAAATATACAGGATATCGACCTCATCTTAAATACATGCACCCCACAAATAATAGTTCTCACTGGAGTAGGTTCAATGATTCACAAACTACCCTACTTTCATCAATATGACTGGCATAGTCAAAAAGGGACAAACAGTTTCGGGGATGTCGCATTTTTAATACATAATTCGCTAAAATCTAAAGTAACTAATAGACATGATAACTTTCTTATGATAGAACTTGAAGTAGCTCAATCAAACATACTCTTAGGAACAATATACATCCCACCTAAGGATTTACCTTTCTTAGAATTATTCGAAGTATGTAAGGATAGAGAATTTTTTCTTTTCGGCGACTTCAACGCTAAACACACAGCATGGTTATGTAAATCAAATAATAGCAATGGAGTAGAAATAAAAAATGGCTCGATGAAACAGGATATGAAGGGATCTTTCCACAAACAACGACATCGAAGCGCTCAGATGATATCATAGATTTCGCGATCGGGTACACAAATGTAGGGTGGTCTTCCGAAGTATTAAATATAAGTACCTCCGACAATTTTCCAGTTCTTTTCTCTTCACCAATAGTAGATGAAAAAACATTTATCTATCAAAAAACAAGTTGGAATCTTTTCACTTATTTCTTATCTTGTGTCTTTCAATACTGGAATACGTGCGTGTACAATATTGACGAACAACAATTCTTTATACTTTTCTCAAACTTTCTTAAAGCACTCTGGGATAGAACTAGTACATACGAGATAAATAGAAAATATAGGCCACCATGGCCTCCACATCTAGTTTCACTAGCCAAACAAATAAATTATATGAGACGTAAATATCGTAGAAAGCGCTTTCTCATTTATCACGAAGAATATAAACAATTAAAATACCAATATCGTTGCTCTAGGACAACTTACGAACAAGAAAAACGAGAAAATCAACTTAAATATTTAACCGATAATAAAAATATTTGGAAGATAGTAAAATCAACATTTCATCCCTACCTCTCATCTTTTAGAGGATTAAAAAACAACAACGAGGAAATTATTCATAACAGTCAGAAAGTAGAAGACCATTTAGGAAATTATTTTGAGGAACATTTTTCGAAACCACTCCATGATTCTACAAATAAAGAACACATCAAATACTTAAAAACATATGAGCAAATAGTTTATCTGCCGAAAATACCAATAGAGTCGATCGAAATAGCTGAAGTTTATAAACAATGCCCAGGTTCAAGCAACCGGCCAGGGAAACGGCCGATTCCCACGCATTCCCGTGATTTTTCACGGAAGTAGTATTCCGGACCGGGAAATCTCCGGATTTTTCCTGTAAGTTCCTGTAAGTTCCTGCTGGTTCCCGTCGGAAATCATCGAAAATCACCGGGAAAATCCGGAGAAATCCGTCCCGGAATGCTGCTTCAAGGGCCCCGTGATATCCGGCGTTTTCCTGCACGTTCCGGTGCGTTTCCTGCATGTTCCTGGCCGGTTCCAATTAAATCCGCTCATTTCTGGAGGCCGGAAACATCGTCCTGGGTGGTGTAAAATGTCAGCAAAAAAATCGACAGACATCTTCGGTATTTCAGCTTTCTTATTAAAAAATCTTCCGATTGATTATATGAGTATTTTCACAATTATGTTCAATAAATATACACCAAAAGGAGAATTTTTAGAAGCCGGAAAAATAGCTAAGGTCATATGTCTTTCGAAGGAAGGTATATATCCAACAGAAAATTGTCTAAGACCAATATCACTATTACCGAACATAAGTAAGCTTTTTGAGAGATGTTTACATACAAAAATTCTCAAGCGGTGTGAATCCGAAGGCATATATATCGACGAGCAGTCAGGCTTTACTCCCAAAGACGCATACAAACTCGTATACTTACAACTTGCGAGGACATAAGATTAACGATAGCAGCTCCAAATCGTCCTATACTTGGAATATTTGTAGATTTTATGACCGCTGTCGACAGAATGTGGCATCCAGTTCTCATCTCAAACTTAAAAGAATTAGATATGCCACTAAACCTTGTACTTTGTATACACGAATGACTATTGGGTCGGTCTATGAATATACAATACGGAGATGCTTTATCCAGAAAAATAGGAATTTATGTAGGAGCGTCTCAGGGCTCAGTATTATCAGCAACCTTATTCAGATTGCATCTACACTTTCTACCCGAAATCTTCGCATGTTTTAGTTCACATTTATTTGCCGACGACTTGGCAATCTTGATAAAAGAATCTATTGAAAAAAGATTATCAATAAATATAAACCAACTAGAAAAGCACGCTAAAATCGCTATGTCAGCCTTAGAAAAATTTTCAAAGGATACTCTACTACCAGTAAACACAAACAAAACGAAAATCATGTTATTTCACAATGCTGTTGCTCCCAGGTATCCAAATGCATATTTTGAAAATGGAAAACTCGAATTTGTACCCATGTTTAAATATTTAGGAATTGAAATATGAACAAAGCTAGGATGGGGGTCATATGCAAAATCACGAATAGCTACAATACGAAATATTTACTGCGGTCTCCGTCAGCTATATCATAATATACCAAGAAATAACATCAAAATTAGACAGTTGCTCTTTCTTACATTTGCCCTCCCCCACTTCATTTGGATTTCAATCTTATGGTTCTTTCTTACTGAAAATCAGAAAATAGAAATAGAACACGTTTACACATCAGGTCTCAAAATAGTATACTCTTTATGGGGTTGAGATGACCTAACTACCCACATATTATCCAGAGAAAAAACTTTAACCGAATACATAGTCAACTACTGGAAAAAACTGGTGAAACATTTAGATACATCTAGGGAAGCTTCTGCATTTAACGAAACATTTGAATCATATATGATCAGTACCTCCCCTAACCTTTTCAATTTATACTATAAAAATATGGGTTTTACAAGAAATAGTAGATTTCCACAAAGATTAGCTCAAAGAGCAACTCATATACATATATAGATTTCTTTAGTTTCTTTAACAGTCGCGAAAAACAAATCAACCATTACTGCACCTCAAAAAATGAGCTGAAGGATTTCGTACATAGATACCTACTTCCTTCTTGATAGATATGACCTGTACACTGAAACATATACTCATTCCATACATATTTACAACTCGATATCCACAAACTGTAGAACAGTCTTCCGACTTACTCGTGCACGTTTTTCTTGACATTTTTTCTCTCTAAGTTCATCTTTATTTTTTCTCCCTACATATTCTCTTAACGTTTCTCTTCATGTTTTAACTCATGTTTCCCCTTGCTTCTCTCTTCTACCTATTTTTTGCATCTTTGCGTTATCGTTGTGACATACACATGTTTGTTTCGTCTCAAAATATATATTATATTGTTATTCTTATGCTTTTCTTCTTATTTCATGTGCTTGAAAACGTTTTCCTCTTCATTAAATGTAACTTTCTAAGAAATTTTATGTTGTCAACACAACTATCTTCATCACTTTCTCTTTTTCCCCCACTTATCTTCATCACGTTCTCGCTAATATGTTAACCCTACCATTTGGGAAGAATAAACTTGATAGAAAAAGAAAAAGAAAAAGAAACTTCCCATTATGATTTATAATATGAAAAAAAGTATCAAATTGTACGTATAGAAAAGGACGCACATGAGAGGACGTGTTGAACAGGACTTACAGAAAAGGATTTATAGAAAAGAGCGTACAGAGAAGGGTGCCAAAAGAATGTATGGAAACGACGTAAATCTCAATGGGCCACAAAAGCTTTAGGATATTTTTTTATCGCTTCCAACTGAAACTATAAATCTGATCGACTCGAACATCTAGGAAATTATATTGCCAATTAATCTGAAGCGAAGAGTATAACGATTTTTTTTAACTTTGGCTTTTATCTATAAAATCAGTAGTTATCGTGATGAGTATTTTAAAATGTTAACAAGGATGTATACTATAATTGCTTCATAGATTTAGATACGGACAATTGTTCAGAAAACTTATTTAATCTAGATAAAAAAACAAATATCATTATATTATTTCATTTAAATCTATATCGAAAGAAAAGAACAATACTGGGATTAAAAATTCTAAAATAGTTTCTTATTTGTAATAACAATACGAATGTTAACGAAAATATTCCGACTTTTAATTAAGACAACAATAATTTTATGTATTTGAAATATAATTTATTTGACAAAAAAATTTTTTTAAAGATTTCATTTATATCCTTCTTGATAACATTTGATTCTTTCCCATCAATAAAAATAATTGATCAATTAATTATCGTATAATAATATTGTATGTGTTGACTTATGTAATAAAAGTTTTTTTCAATAAATATATTGAATATTTATAAACAATTACTCAATTAGGTCTCACGTTTTATTCATTTATCAAATCAAATAAAAGAAACAATCATTGGATAACTAGAGACAAAGTTGAGCGTGACAGTCTATCATTTTGTTTTCTCTACAAAGTAAATAAAAGAATACACTAATTCTAACGTACATCCTTATAAGATATACTATGACTGGTATAAAATAACAAAGAACGCAAAAGTGTTTTCTTTCTTTTTAGAAAAATTGAAAACAAGTTATAAAATATTAAGTTCTTATTTTCTTATCAGGTATGACCGAACAGAGAAAAACAAGAAAAATTTTCACATCGAAAAAATTCCCAAATAAACAGGGTAAGTGAATTTCATTCCAATTAACAAAACAAGTTCTTTTGATCTTACAGTGCGTACAAAGAAAGTTGTGGAAGTCGAAGATGAACAATGTGGAATTACTTTTAACAAAATTAAAACGGATTCTCTATCCAGTTGTATCTTTACCATAATTTTTGGTGAATTGAGTGCGAAACCAATAGCATACCTGTCCCATTGTTCACTCACCTACCAACCACGTCTATTCACACCAACAACAACAGCAGCAGCATTTATTAAAGAAATTGAAAATGACATGCTCGATTTGTTCAATGAAAAGTATGCTGCTAATCCTATAGAAAAGCCAAATTTAACCCAATTACAAAATTTGAAAATGGTGATCGGTGCTGGAGGTAAAGTTAAACCTGACCTAATAAGAAAAGGTTTAGCCTTACTTAACAGCCCAAAAAACAATATCAATCAACATTTGAAAACAGAAGGAGCGCTACATTTATATTGCCAGCTTCAGAACAACGTGAAAATAATGGAACCAATAACGTTTATAATGAACGACGACGACGAAGATTTAGGTAAGCCAATATCTAAATTAATTATTGCACTCATCATCAACCTATAATCTAGAGTCATAAAAGTCACATATCACCTACATCCCTTCAAGATATAAAATGTCCACCTAGAATATAAGCCGTACTCAGATACTTATCAAACGCATATAACAAAAATACCCAACATCTCCTTCTCATAGTATTCATAATATCATTCAAACCATAATTTTGCATTCATCCTTAAAAAAAACTCGGGAAATTATTTGATGAGTTATTTCATGACTTTTACGATGAAAGATTAATGTTACGATATCATCGTGACGTAGTGTTTTGATGTCTAATGTGAAAAGATTGAAAGGTTACATCTGAACAAATGAAGTTAGTTCAGAGACCTTGTTTTTTTTTGCTTTTGGATATTGCATTATAAAATTTTGATTGATATTAATCTTTTAATTGTAGGTGCAGAAGGTGAGAATGTTGTTGACCCACCTGGTATTAAGCTCCTGTTTGATTGTTATACAAAAAATTTAAAGTTAGAGGCCTATTACGAGGGATCGTTGTGTTCCACTGAAGATGTAATAGCCAGCAAGATTGTCAACTTAAATAACTTTCATGCCAAAGAAAACTCATGGCAACTACAAACCCAGGTCAATGATTCCGGAGGACGGATACTGTAGGAACCGGCCGGAAAGATGCGGAAAAATCACCGTATCTGGCCGGAAAGCACTGGAAACTGGAAGCAGTATTCCAGTTGGAAGTTACCGGATTTTTTTCCTGTGGATTCCGGTCAGTTTCCTGTGTTTTCCGGTCAGTTTTCTGTGTTTTACATCTGGAAGTTGATCGGAATCTACAGGAAGAAAATCCGGTAACTTCCAACTGGAATACTGCTTCCACTTTCCAGCGCTTTCCTGTGCTTTCCGGCCGTTTCCCGCCGTACGTCCACGACCTGGGAACAAATAAAATCAATAAAACAAGAGAAAAAATTAAGTTAGATTCGAAAGAGTTAAATGACTTTAATATTACAGTGGGTAAGATCATGTTTAATTATTTAATTATAATATTTCTTATGTTATATAATATTCATAATTGGAGGCATTTCATTTTTTTACTATTCTAGTATAAATGTATCAGAGAAAATGAGTATAATTTTATGAAGTTTAGCATTCGATACTTTCATATTTGATTGATGAAATGGATGAGAAATGCTGAATGACCTGTTTGTTTTTTTTCCGTTGTATTATAAGGTTTCATTTAATCACATAAACAAAAATTGATGCATGCATCTATGAATATTGATTTTCGGAAGATTTAACCTGATATTACTCAATGGAGCAGGAATGCACAAATCAAGTTATATTTGACTTGACTTGGAATTTTTCAGAAACGACTTGATTTGAGTCAAAAAGTCATTGGCTTGCCAATCTGTATAGTTGAAAATGTATCTAGCCAGGTAAACGATTGTGTTATAGATGTTAGTGGCCATTGCAATAGATAAGTCATATAAAAGAGAGCAAGAAATGTAAAGCGATGAATTGATAATTTGCAACAACAGATCAAATCAGTTCGTATATAGTTTTTTTTCCATAAAATAGACATTATCTATATAGTTTTTTTTTGAGTAAGCTTAGTTTATTATGACGACAGTGGAGGGTTATAATAATTATATATATAGTCTTAATCTAATGTAAATGCTTTGTTTTAATTTTTAGAATATATTTCGAACCAGTTGACTGATGTTATTTTGAACAATTCATCGGAGTACGTATGCATTACATAAAAAATCTAGTCAAAAAATAGTTTTATCCTATTCATTGCATTGTAAAAGTCCATTTCAAATTCTTCTGACATTGATCTAAAGAGTATCAGGGTCGTAGCCATACATTTTTCAAGGAAGATGCACACCAGTAGAAAATAATTTATTTTTTGTTTCGTGGGAGGGCTTTTTATTCGTATATCCATCTTCAGATCTTTTTATTAGGGAAGGGTGTGACGACAGCAACGTCACTGATCTTGTCTTGATGTTTGTTGTATCATGTATATTGTTTCTCCTCTGTGTTGTTCTCTCTTATTGCTTATTGTCGTGCTTGTTATTTTCAACATTGGCACCATTTTTTCGTTTTTCGCGCTTAGACTCAGAGAAATGAGATATAATTACTCTCTCTTTTTCTCCTCAAGTTTCTTAGAAGCTTCTTGATATATCTCTCTTCACTGAGATATACTAATTCTTCTTTTTCTTCTCTGACTACTATTTTTCTTTTTGATCAATTACATACTACCTTTTTCTTTTCAACTTGATTGTTCTTTACAATCAACCTAACTCGATTGTTCCTTACAATCGTTCGAACTCGTGTCAGCTAATTGCTTGTGGAGTTCTTCTTATTATTCTCAACTATTTCTGTTCATTGAATAAACAATTGGATCTTCATCCAATATTCAATACTATTTAATTTTCGTTGTTGTCATTCTGCCATAACCAATACTGTGGCACCTGGCATTATTATTAGTAGCGTCTCTGATCCTCATCAAGGCGTTACAAAGGGGGCACAATCACCCATTTAAAGATTGTACACACACACACACACACACACACCGAAAACTTTTTTCTTTTTAATATCTTTTAGATAGTTGTCCCTCTCTTTCATATTTCTTTCCTAGTTTCTTTTATTTTTCTCGATTTCTTCATTGCATATGCGATGACGACTTGCAAAATAAACTCGACGTTTATTTTCGACGAGTTAGATCGATTCACTCGTTAACAACTTGATTTTGACAATATACGAACTTTCATTTTGAATTCGTGGTAAAAAATAAATGATTTTCAGTAAATATTTTTCTTTTTAGTAATGCCTATTTATTAACTGTACCTGTTCAAGAAATTTGTAATCATGATCTTAACGATCAATTATCATCAGCAGGCGAAAAACTTGTCGTGGTTATTTGTTTTGCTACAGAGTTCGAATTCTTTTGTTTTATTATTTCTTTACTGTATAAATAATGTTATTTTCAGTTGTACTGCAAGTAAATCAATCGCACCATACATTGAATATTTGAATGCTAAATATTTAAATGCTGTATTTCTCAAAGCTGATATTGGAAAAAGGATGGTAAAATTTTCAGTAATGTTTACTTATAGATAATAGTGTCATTGTTGTGTTTTGATAGAATGAATTCATCATGTATTCAATTGCAGTTACACCAACATTTCTCTTTTTTCAACATGGTGAACAAGTTGCTCGTTTACAATCTGCCAATAAAGAATCTATTGAAGAGATAATTTTAAAATTTTATAAAGATGCACCATTAGATTATATTGAATACGTAAGAAATGAAATTTGTTCTAATCGATGTTTATACTATGGGATGTTCATTACAGATGAACCTCAAACCGTTTATTGAAGAAAAAGGTTGTATGGCTTTGAATACAATTGATGCGTGGCAAAATGCTATATTTGGAAATAAAAAAGACTCATTGAGATCAAATGCTGATAGTTCAGAAGTAGAAATTTGTTAGGGTGTATTCTACTATAACATATATACCTCGATTCGATCTATTTCTTTTCTTTTGTCTTTTCGTTTTTCTCTATTTTTCTTGTCCTTGTTTTCGCGTGCGTATATAAACGGTTGTTTTCTAACAGAATAAACAGAGAGAATATAAACACATTCGTTAACTGTGTTTGTCGCTCCTCGTGAGCGCTAACATTTTGGCGACCCTGGCAAAACAACAACATGCAAATTAACGAACAAGAAATTTATTAAAATCATTAAAATTATTTTACCATATATACGGATGAGAGTCTCTATTGAATTTAGACTCGTGGTAAGATTATGACGTATAAAGTTATTATGCAAGCAAATAGTGTTCTCTCTCAATAATCCAGTGAAAAAAAAATTTCCTTTAACATATCAAAAGCACACATTATCTGCTCGTTATTATTGATATGATAATTGCAGTAATCAAATAAACATACGGTTCCGGAGGTCTGTTGTTGAAAAGATGAATTTAATAAAATATGTGTGGAATTACATGAAATGATTAATAATTATTAAAATGACGTTATATTATATGATTTCTGATGTTAAATTTTGTTGATTAAATATGATTTAGCATAGCAAGATCGGGCAGTATGACTTTCCACAGCTAACTGATTTTGAAGGGCTATTATATTCAATTTAGCAAATATTTATTATTCTATTATACGAAACTTAATTGTTTTTATCAGATTCTCACCTGGTCAAGGAGAATCGGAATAGAACACTCGATTTCGTAACCCACTATGATGGACATATCGCACAATGAATGATATTGCATCATGCTATCGGAAAATGAATATCAAGATTTAGTACGGAAATTAGATCATATTCGATGATCAATAATCGGTCTAACAAGTTGGTGAAGTTGAACAATATCAAACACGAATCATCAACCAAAAAGGTAGCAAGATACAACTATTAAAACGTAAGATTTATATTCGTTCATTTTCTTATGTGTAGACAACTCGTTTGTTATCACAGTGAATTTCTCTTTTTCCTTCTTGTATTTGTTACTTATTCGTGTCGCTGAACACGTTTTTCTCTCTCCCATTTCTATTTGCGCTGTGTCTTGTTTTTGTGTTTTCATGTATTAACCTTTTCCTTTGAAAGATTTTCTCGTGTTATAGTTTGTTATTTTTCTTTTGATCTGATGTTAGTCACTGCCTATCTTTCGATTTCCTTATTATTTCTATCTTTTCTAAAAATGTCGATAAAAGACATTTTTTTGTCCAATAGGGGAGTATGTTAGGGTGTATTCTACTATAAAATATATACCTCGATTCGATCTATTTCTTTTCTTTTGTCTTTTCGTTTTTCTCTTCGTTTTTCTCTATTTTTCTTGTCCTTGTTTTCGCGTGCGTATATAAACGTTTGTTTTCTAACAGAATAAACAGAGAGAATATAACACATTCGTTAACTGTGTTCGTCGCTCTTCGTGAGCGCTAACAGAAGGAATAAGTAATTTTCATTCATGAAACAAGTATAAGTATTGTAGATAAATTCCTTCACCCACAATAACGGGTAGCTAAATCCATCAATATGTTTTAAAACTGTACTATTTAATTTAATTTAACAATGAGAGCGAACAAAACACACTCATCATCATCACCCATGTAGTTTCACAGACCCTAGTCATTTCAAACAAATCTTTGTCGAAAATCTACCGAAAAAATGCACTCTTTGAAAAATAAAGCAACATCTTTCATCGATAAATGTTTCTTTTAGCTTTTCACATGCCTGCTCGAGCGATTTGCGATAGCAGCCGGGTAAACATCAATGCTTTCTTATATACGTATTTCTCTCCCTATCTCGGCTCATTTTTGCAGTTCCAAATCAAGAGCGATGAGAGTGTTTTTTGCTCGTTCTCTTTCGTTTCACGTCATCATGTTTTCAATGACACAAAAATAAACATTGCATATGCCTTATGATTTTACTTCAGTATTCTAAATCTACTGTTTTCTTGCAATACTGCTCGCTCCATTAAGATGAACACACCAACTCTACTTTCATTTGACTTAATAATCCAAACCATTTAAAATCGTCAGAAGAAGGTATGAGCAATTTTCAATTCGTCGCTATCAAAATTAGTCACTCTCAGGCTGGTTGTCAGTGTGTAACATGAAGCACACCCAACAGAACTCTTGTTTATAGTGATCATAGATCTACAACAGAGAATAACTAGTTTACATCCGATTTTGATCTAATTCAAATTGCCAATTGAAAGTATAAACAGTTGCATAACTAAAAAGAGATTTTTCAGCAGAAAACTCAAGATGATCATTTGAACGAAAATATATTGATTAAAGTTGAAGAAACTATTTTAAGAATCAAATTGAATGAATAAAATAAAACAATCAACACTCACTTGCACTCTATGGTATATCCACATTAAATTTTTTTATGACTTCTCTAGATTATTGAAAAGTATTATTCAAATTTCTTTCACATTAGACATGGCGAGCAGCAAAAATATGATTCATCTTGGTCTTATACTGCTAATTGACTTTGTCAGTCTATGTACTGGTAGACTCATTCGAACAAAAGTAGCCATTCTCGGAGGAGGAATGGCCGGTGTGATGGTTGCTCGTACTTTATCAGAGAAGGGAATTTCAGATTTTCTAATTATTGAAGCAGAATCTGTACTTGGTGGACGGATGAAAGAAACAACATTTGACAAATATACAATTGAATTAGGTGCTAATTGGATTGAAGGTATTCGAAACCATGAAACTGGAGAAGAAAATCCAATATGGACAATGGCGACAAAATACAATCTTACAAGTACTGCCACTGATACTGATGACTTATTGACTTACGATCAGAATGGTCAATTCAATTATTCAGATGTCGTAGATCAAGCATTCGCTCATTTTAAGCAGGTTTTAGATGATGCTACAAAACGAGAAGAATCGAATCTTGAAGATCTATCATTTGCCGAAGGCCAAAGACTTCGAGGATGGATACCAACGACATCGTATGAAAAAGTAGCCGACTGGTGGGCATTTGACTTTGAATTTGCTGATAGGCCGACTGCATCAAGCATGATTCGGACTGCAGCTAATGAAAAAGCAACTCACGGTCAACGGTTAGAGGATGATCAATTTGTTACAGATCAGCGTGGTTATGCATTTCTAGTACGTGAAGAAGCAAAAAGAATTGCCACAAACAACAACATTTTATACAACAGTACTATAACAACAATCGAGTATTCAAACAGTTCCGTAAATATTACATTGAGAAATGGTCTCATCATCTGGGCTGATTATGCTATTTGTACATTTTCAGTGGGCGTCCTTCAACACAATGATGTGCACTTTATACCAGCATTTCCAGCATGGAAACAGGAATCGATTTTTTCTTTCAAAATGGCAACATATACAAAAATTTTTCTTCAATTTCCTCATAAATTCTGGAGTAACGCGCAATTCTTTTTATACGCTGATCCTTACCGACGAGGCTATTATCCACAATGGCAGTCATTGAGTGAAATCGGATTTTTCCCTGATAGCAATATTTTAGTCGTCACTGTTGTTGCTGATCAAGCTTTGATTGTCGAAGCACAAAGTAAAAATCAGACCTTGATAGAAATCATGGATGTATTACGATCTATGAATGGAAAAAATATTCCAGAGCCGAATAACTTTTATTATTATCGATGGACATTAGACCCACTTTATCGTGGTTCTTATAGCAATTGGCCGACGGGCACTTCACTATGTCAGCATAATAATCTTGGCAGACCAATTGGGCGACTTCGTTTCACTGGTGAAGCTTACTCGCAAGAATACTACGGATTTTTGCATGGAGCATATCTAGAAGGACTGAAAATAGGCAAAAAAGTAGCAGATTACGTGTTGAACAAAACATTTCGAACAGATAATCGAGATTATTCATGTAAACAACATTCATCACGGGAGCAAAAGAGGATAATACTTTCTTTACTGTCAAAGTTAAAAAGTGGCAAGAATTCTAAAGTCTCAAAATTTGAATTTTTACAGTCGATTCAAAATTCTCACGATTTCAAACGTTGACCAGATCGTTTAACCTTGTGTCTTTTTAACTAGAGAATGTAGAAAATAATTCTAATCTTCTCTGATTAAACCTTCTTGAAATTTTTTTTATAAATTTTCCTATTGTTTTTTTTTCAAGATATTTGCGATTTTGAATCAATTTTAGCTGAAAAATAAATAATTAATTAATTAATTATAATTTCAAGATTTTATTCTTTTATGGAGAGGATGTGGTAAATAGAGTAACATTTCACACACACACACACACACACACACCCTCAATAAACAAAATACTTTAATACTCAAAGAAAAAATTCTATTGATGCAGGCGCCTTTGTTAAACATTAATCATGATACTATGGATTGTATGTTTATTGATCAAATCAATTGAATCCTTTCATTCTTTAAATCCATCAGATTTATCATGCAAAAAACGTATATGCCATATTGTTTTCAATCTAATTAAATATTTTCATAATCATTTAGGTGATTATCGACTAATTACCGATCAATCGAGCTATATAATTACATTAGATAATACATTATCTCGTTTATTAACAAAATTATGGCGTGAACAAATCAATGATCAACCTTTAATATTTCAATCATTGTGGGTGTCAGTATGAGTATAGATGCCGGTCACTGAACGGATTCAATCTGTAGTTGGGCAACCGCACCCACACCCTTCAACCCAGTGTGAACAATATCTAGCACTGCACATTGGAAAATTAGAGATTTTACTACTTTTGTTTTTTTTTTAAATCATGCATAAGAGTTATTAATATATTCTATAAGTTGTCGTTACAATGGTGACCGCTCCCTTCATCGCACGACACTTCGTCGCAGAAAAATTCTTTTCGTTCTGTTAGTCCCTATCTATTTGTCGCATCTCTCTTAATGAATTTTTTTGTGTATAGCCAATGGAAAATCTATGAGTTAACTCCTGTGTATTTTGTGCATAATAAACACACAACATAATGAGAAATAGATTGAGAAAAAAATAATCTAAACAAAAAAAAAGCAAATAAAGAAAAAATGACCTAAAGAGTAATGTTGACTGCTATATTTTTTAAGAATTGATCTAGTTGAGATGAGTGGAAGGAGTTGACCGGTCGAATTTTAATATTAATTTTGGGCGTGGGTGTGGGTGTGTACCCACACCCAAAATATCATTCTAGAGCTTTTTTACTCTGATACATGATTCGAAATAAACATTAATTATATCGATTGATATTTTAGCACGATAAAAGTACAACTCTATGATAAATGTGAAATTTACCTGATATAGAGGATATGTATCAGTGATCCTATTTATTCGTTCACAAACATTACGTAGTGAGTATAAAATGATTACTGGTTCTTGAGGGTGTGAGTATGGGTTTTTTCTACTCATCAATACTCAAGCTCATACCCACAACCTTGAAAGTTATGAACGTTTTATCCGATTTGACGATACTTATGTATTTTCTGCGAGAGACCGCATGGGAATACCCTTATGCAGACATATGATGGGTTATAGGAATTTCCAGGACATTGACTGTATTTTGCATGCCAAATGAATTTCCGGAAATTGAATCTGCTCATCGAACAAACTAAACAATTCAAACCACTATGATTGTCTTATAGGGCATATAGGGAGTAGGGTGTCACATCTCGTCTCTCTCGATCCAGGCAAAGGTGCACAAACACAGATACAACTTGTATCGCCACTTAACGTACATATTAGCACTTAAACTTCTATCATTATGTAACATCATGTAACAGCATTTATCGGCTTGTAACGGCATGTATCTGGTGTGAGGAGGATGGAGTGGGAGGGGAGTATCTCTCTATACAGGTGTGGAGCATATGATGTCTTATCAGAGTGCCTGCGGAAACTCAATTAGGTATCAGCAACATAAATGTCGCAGATAGAGCAGTTATATCGGACATACCAGGTGAAGGAGGATGTGGGTGTGTACCCACACACACCCATCCACACCCTCAAGATAGTCAACTGAATACCAGTCCGACTGTACTAGTGCATGTCTATTAGAGAAAGGACAAAATCCATCATAAGCACAAAATAGTAGTCACGCTTAACTTTGACTGTTACACTTTTCGTTGGAGTAGTTTAAGCTTAACATTAAAAGCATTCAATTTCTTTTGAGTATTTTGAATTTAAGATTTTATTTCTTGTGATTTTATGCAGACATTTAATGCATCTGATAATTCTTCTCTTAAAATTGAGATGAAATCGCGATCATTTCCATGTCTAGTTTAAGCTTACCCTCACACTCTCAATGATAGGTTTATTTATTGAATAATGATAAGTGATTTTAATGTGCGTCGTTACATTTCACATAGATTATGGTTTCTATGAAAAGCATTACGATTTTATAATTTAGCTGGCGAATCTTTTTTTAATTTCTTGTAAAAATTTGTGATGCTGCATAAGATACTTCAGGTGTTCAACACGATTCGCCCAACCATTGCTACCAGTTTCTGCCTCTTCGTCAATCATGTTTTGCAGAAACGTACACTCCTGTGTTTCCAGCGATTGCGGTCTCAGTGCAATTTCATCGAGACGCAAAATTATGGAGTTGGCTTCTTTTAGTTGGCAATATAATTTCACACGCGCTTGATTGAATTCTTTTTCAACGCATAAACTAAGCTTCTCTGGCGAGAGAGTTGCACCTTCTAACTCATGGTATTCTTGAATGCTCTTTAAATCCAAGGATCGCTTCTCAATTGCCAACTTATATCGGAAAGTCTCGCTAGTATGAGATGATGCTGCACATTTTTGCGGACATATATTGCATTGAGTGTTTCTAGGGGATGAAATGTTCAGGTAAACGAACAAAGTTTCGTAGTAATGATAGTCCATAGCGTGGCAGTTCCATAGATCTTCAGTCTTTCGATCGCATGGATAATGACATGTACGGTGGCAGGTTTTGCAGTTCGTTGCTCTCTCGGAATTTGACAATGTTATATGCTGATATTTACAGAATTTAATATAGTCTTCTGCCACGATTTTATCCGGATTCGAAGTAGAACCATGAATCGTTAAGAATTTATTTTCTTTATCAAGGTTAACCAAATGATCCAATGCAGAACTGATATTTTCTCTTCGACTTTCTAGCATCTGATAAAGATACTGTCGTTTATGAAGAACTTCTTTGGTTAGTGTCAAACTTTGCGGCCTAATATTGTGCAACATCCGAAAGAAATTTATCATTTGCTTCATATTTTTCTTCCATACATACTGACCATTAGTAACTTCATCGTCATCGTCATCGTCTTCATTTTTTCCTTGACTTTTCTTTTTTTCGTTTCTACAGCACACATTGCTATTATTGAAGAGGAAGCATTCTTGATGGGGTATTCCAGCTGCTTTTGCTGCTTCCAAAATCCCAGGTTTGTCAGTATCGGCGTGTGTTGCCATTAGAAAAATATTCTCCTTGATATCCTTACCAAAAATTGACAGCACAGCATGAAAAACGTACCTTTGCGTTGTTGTAAGGCGAGTTTGTGAGTTGAGCACTACAAAGGCGATCCCGTCAATACGATCGATTCCATATTCTATGCAATTTAAATTGAAAAATTTACCCAAATTTTCAGTTGTCAGATTATCAGTTTGCACACCTTGTGGATCATTATATCCAGGAGTATCAATCAGTGTAAGAGTATAATCAACAGGGCAGTTAGGTTGCCAATGTAATGTATAAGCAGTAATCCAATGAGTTTGACTTTCACTTTGACTTCGAACTATACTCTCATCTGCCTCGTCTTCCTTAGCAATTAAAATCAATCGAAATTCATCAGCCCATGCAACTCCGTAATAATAATTGACTAAACTGTTAATTAAGGTTGTTTTTCCGGTACCCGTTTCACCAACAAGTAAGACAACCTTTTCTTCGTGTGAAAGAGTAATTAATTCCTGCGATTGACCGACATAACAGCGGCGTAATCTTGACTTAGGATCAATAACTATTTTCAGACACGGCAAGCGACATCGATATGGTTTGCAGAAGTTATCATTATTGAGACGCTGTAGTTTACCGCCTCTATACATTCGAGCTGCAGGCGTTGCCATTGACAATATAATTTATGTAGAAAGATCTAAAAAAACGTTGGTAATATAGGTATACCTTCGACAGCACAAAGCAAATGTGTGGAACACCGACAAGTTTCGAAGCATGATTTCACTGTGGTTTGTACGCACAGTCGTTTAATACTTTTTTTTTACAAATATAGTTCGTCGCATTTGATGAACATTCAAAAAAGATGAAATCCAATTAAATAAATGACGCGTAAGATAGCTAACAGTTCAATACATCACAATAGCTCATCGACGATATGGCGTGGGTGTGGATGATATGTGGAATAACGTTCTACACCAACGCCCACACTCCCGGTCGTAACGTTTTCTATAATTTCTTTAGTTTTAAATTCGTTTTAAATTTCCAATGATGATTATCAGAGACCTCTTGGCAGATACCTGCATTAAAATAGTCTTCTAGCATCTCTCTAAGTTTAGAACATTTTATAAGGAAAAGTTGTTAGCACAATCCCTGCGGGATTAAAATGTGAAACACGATGGAACTCTTTTGCTGGAACCCGTCTACTACGGTCTGTGAGTCTTTGTAGCTTTTCTGTCACTGTCTATAATCATATATGTAGCCTTTCGGCCACGGTCTGTATTTTGATCTATGGAGTCGGTAGAGACCATCACAGACTATACCAGAGACTTCAGAGACTGTGGCAGAAATCTCAGAGACCATCAGAAATCTTGACAGAATTCACAAACCGTCACAGACCGTGAAAGGGAAATCAATTAGCTAATTGCTTAATTTTCTGTCACGGTCTCTTTGGCAAGGGGGGGGGGTCCAAATTTCGATCCTATATACTTCAACACCTTTCAAATCGTGTTTCACAAAATCTTACGAATGTCGAAGCAAAAATCTTAGTAAGAAAATAATTATTCAATATATTAAAAGAAACCAAATAATCTATCATACTTGTTAAACTGTTCGTTGAATTTTTGTAAGCTCTACCTTGTCACTGTCTTACTTGTGTAGTAATATAAGAAGACAATTGTATTCTGAAATGAATTAATTTTTTGTCTACATCTACTTATATAGTAACGATTGATGAGAAAAATCCAACAGCAGAATATTTTATCGTTCGTTTTCTTCCTACTAACTGTACTTTAGTTTCATATCTTATTGCTTGCTATACGTTGGCTTTGTTTCTGTTGAGTCATCATAGAAATAGATATAGATATATTTATATTTATGTCCTCTCTGAAGTTTGCCTGACTCATGTTCGCTCTTTTTCATTTTTTCATTTGTTTTGACTGGTTGCTGTTCGTCTCAAGTCTATAAAGTAAGCTATGGATTTTGACAACACGGTTGGCTATTAAGCATTTCATAATATGTGACATCAGCGAAAACAACTTTAGATCAAGTAAAACTTCTTTCAGAATATTTTTACGATGCATGTGATACATGCTATTTTGCAAGGTCATTTGAATTCCATAGATATGAAAACAAAATATTTAAATAATCAGAGAAAAAGCTACGATCTCTGATAGTTATTATCAAATTCTTCGTTTCTTGAAATCGATCAATTAGCAAAAAATTCGATTGATACAGGCGCCTTTGTTAAACATTAATCATGATACTATGGATTGTATGTTTATTGATCAAATCAATTGAATCCTTTCATTCTTTAAATCCATCAGATTTATCATGCAAAAAACGTATATGCCATATTGTTTTCAATCTAATTAAATATTTCCATAATCATTTAGGTGATTATCGACTAATCACCGATCAATCGAGTTATATAATTACATTAGATAATCCATTATCTCGTTTATTAACAAAATTATGGCGTGAACAAATCAATGATCAACCTTTAATACTTCAATCATCGCGATATTTTCTAACTTACTATCCTTGGGCTCGAGACTTTTCTTCAATTATCAATCAATCAGGTATTTCTTTATTTAAAGCAAGTTTTTACTAAAAAAAGATTTCTAGATTTCTTTTTCGATGCAAAACCAATATTGAATAAACAAATCGAACTTATCATCAGAAGCAGTGAAAAAAAGCAAGAAGAATTTTGTTCTTATCCAGACTCACCAATCAAAATAGGCGTTTGTTGTGGTTTATGTACTATAATTGATACATGTCCAGAAATAAAAATTCTTCATGAACATTCAAGATATGATATGATTGTAACAAATGTTGGTTTGATTTTAACTCGAGAATTGATTTGTTCTCTCTTTCCAACAGTTTGTTTAATAAAAACAAACCGTCTATTAAATATGTACTTCAGATGTATTTATAGAATCAAACAAATCGTTTTTGGTCAACAATAACAAATTCAATGAATGTTGGTCAAATACCAGATAGTAAGATTTCAAATAGATAATTAGAATATCTTATTGTTGTGTACTCAAAAAAAGTGAGTACACTAGATTCGGTCAGTGTGTCCGTCCGGCCGTTAACACGATAACCTTTGAAAGCCTCATCCAATTGTCATGAAATTTTGTACACATAATGATCTCATTAATATCTCAGTCGAGTTCGAAGATGAGAAGGATTCGTCAATAAATGGTTGAGTTATCGAAAAAATTGTCCCCCCCCCCCCCCCCCCCCCCCCCGGGGGGGGGGGGTACAGGGATTTTTTCAAAAACAAAATTTTTTTCTTAGAACTATTCACAACATACATAAATCGACTCAGTTTTTGCAGTACACATTTAAATCGGATGCGAATCTGATGTTTCCTCATTTTTTTTAGAATTTAAATTCTTAAACATTGTATTACAAACTTTTATTTAAATATCTTTTAAAGAGAATGACTTGGCTATTATTCAACATAGTTATGGAACGATTCAAGCCTTTTTCTATTATACATTATATCCGTTTCATGAATGGAATAAGCAAATAGTAAATTTTAATTTTATTGATGTTCTATTTATTCCATATAAACAATTCGCTATATTTGAATTAGTATGAATGTTTAGCTTCATCTTCGATATGATTATTTGCTATCTTTAGAATGATTGTAATAGAATATTATTACTAGTCTATGAATATAGATTAAATAGAACAATTCAATTAACTAATCAACTATTCTATTCTGAAATAATTATTGAAAGAAATATTTGTTCAATAATATATTTTCATTTGTATTTTAACATGCTATCAAATATGCTTTATTTAATCGGAAAACAAAGTGTATGCAATACTTCTTTTTTTTAATTAAACGATAGTGGAATAGTTCGGCTTTTTTGTTTTAAGATTTATGCATCGAATAACTATGGTGCAAAACTGATTCGAATATGGACAGATGATATATCCTCCAATGATTCAATAATTCTTGATCCTATTATTTTTTCAGACACGGGTCATTTAGCTTTTATCTATCAACGAACGAATCATTCTTCGTGTTGTTATTATTTTGGTATTTTTTCAAAAGCAGGTTAGCAATTTAGAAACAAACAATCGTTCGGTGTTTTATATCTTGCTATTGCCAATAATATCGCTTATTGAAAATCTAGGCCTCTATTATGGCTTGCGTACTCGAACATTTCGATCATCCGTTCTAATGAAGAAACCATTTTTTTTCGATTCAAGTGGTAGTTTTTATTTCAATGCTTCACCACCTCTATTAGTTATACAAGCTACAGAACAATCACTTGCTGCAACACGTAATGTAATTAAAATTTTATTCCCTTATTTTCGATCTTTTTTCTTTTTAAATCTTAGCTTTTAGTTAACAATGTTCCTGGTCCATTTTTTGTACGAGAAACTGATATGAATCGATTTTTTGTGTTTTGTTCATTGCCAGAATGGGATAATCGATTTGAACTAATCGGTTCTACACTTCAATTTGAGTAAATTATTTTTTATATTTTTTGCTTTTATTATCTTTTGTTTTGCTGTTTAGGAAAGTTGGTCTATTTTTTATTATAAATATGGATACTACATTTTCAAAATTTGGCTTTTGTTTACAAACTTCTCGTCTGGATAACAATCTGCTTCGAACATCTCGACAATGTCCATTAACTATTCAACTCTTAGAAAACACGAGCACCATTCATCTAACTCTATTAGGATGTGTTTTTACTGCTGAAGATCAAAATTCCACAATAATAATATCGAAATTTCCAAATATTTTTATTGATCGCATTTTTAACGATACATTTGCAGCTGGCAGAATTTTTCAAGAGAGCCAACTAAATTATACACGTGTTAATCAATGGAATATAATTCACATAGCAGTTCGTTTTTTTTCATTGATTTCATAGGAGAAAAAAGTTATCAAAAGCCAATTATTTTTCTACATACGCATAAAGGAAAAAGCTAAATTTAAACATAGCACTTAGAGGTAATAGCTTTGAAGAGTACTTTTGAAGTTTGCTCTTAGAAATAAAAGGTTGCTGTATTGACCTAAGATTGAAACAGATGTTCATTTGATAAAGTTCACTAAAAAAAGAAATAAAAAACGCTCAAAATATTTCGACAGAGTAATCTAAAATTCACTGCATTTTACTTAAATTTCAGATAGTCGAGCAAATATTAGATCGATGTTTGTTAACAAATATCGATGCAAACTATCATCGTCCATCATTTATGCACATTCAACCAGCTATAACTTATCCAATTGTTAATGGCGATCAACTTGGTTTGTTAAATTCTTTAAATTTAAAAGGAAATTTTACAATTCGTTAGTTTAGTTACGGAGAATTTCTATTTTTTAATTCAAAATGGTTATGTATTCTACAAAAATAAAATGGATAATAAGTTATATTTAATGACTTCATTATTTAATCATGTTTGCTTTGTATTTTAAAAAAATTCAACATGAATTCTTTCCACTAATAGAGAAAATCAATAATTCATCAAGATTTTATTCGTAGTCAATTATCTTGTTATTTACCATCTATGCGAACAATCACTTTCGTAACAAAATGTTTGACAAATACAATAATTCGACCTAAATTTGAAATAAACTTTGAAATAGCGAAATTGGTTCCTATTGAATCGCCAGTAAATAAAGGAAAAACTTTTTCTTACACTTTTCTTTTGTCAATAAATTAGATTGATTTTCAATTGAATCGATATCAAGCTGGATTTCATTCAGTTATTGTTTATAATATCGATCAGGAAAAAGTTAATATTAAAAACATTTTAATTTAAAATGCAATCTGCATATATTCTAGAATTTGATTTGTGATGGATTTAAAAATTGCTCATGTATTTCATCGTTGATCTCTCATCATTCGATACATTGTGCTCAACAAGTAATCAAAGTTTTATTTATATAAATATATTATTATGATTTTCTTTTGTTCAAAGTTTTATACTATAGATTTAACAATTAACAATCGCATTTATATGGAATTATGGATGGAAAATGCCATCTCTTATTTAGCAAATAATAACAGTATATTCTTAATTGAAGAAGTATCGAATCGTACAGATTATAAATTAATTGGTAAGAAAAAACTTGGCTTAATTTCAATGTCAATTATTTTTACGACAAAATCGTTTATTATTCATCTCGGAGTAGTTGTATTTCAACAAATAACATTCATTAGGAGAAGGAAGAAAGAATAGTCCACTGTTCCGGTAAAGCGTATGCCTCGAAGCAATTGTGTTAGCTCGATGTTCTCCTTACAACAATTAGCAATTGTTGTGATGAAGAAAAGATCGACGAGAGAAACACAGCTTAATCGCTTAATTGTTCGAACTTCCGTTTAACACGCTCAAAAAAATAAAATATTGGTCACAAGGGTTCATATGTATCTCTTTATACAATCAACAAGCTATGCAGCTGAAAAATCCTTCTATGTCAAGTTTGAAAGTTTATCTCAAAAAGGGTTTATCATTGAGAAGGATAATTAAGTAAATAATAATTTTTGCATACTGAAAAATAATTCATCGAGCCCTCAAGCCTATCTTGATTGAGACAGGCAAGAAAAAAAACGCAATAATGGCTAACAATAGATTGACTTATTTATAATCTTATTATTCAAATAAGGCAGAACTTAATATATCTCCTTCCACTATATAATTTATAGACTCTATTCAAAACATCTTCACTTCAAAAATAGACTTTCTTCTCAGAATATTAATGCATTCTCTATTATTCATTGTCGGCAGATATCAAATATATTATCACTATTTTATTTAAATTTTCTCACCCGGATGAGCAATATCAAACTCCGGAAGAGTGAACACCTTTTTTTTAAGAGTGCAGCTAGTTAAATTAACCCGATATCGTGAATACTTAAAATTGATATTCAATTCTCAAACGATGGTATAAATGTGTACATAATGAATCGTGTTAGGATCAATATTTGCAAGTCTTTTATGTTTGATCAGTTCTTAATCGATTATGACTAAATCTCAAGGTGAACGAAAAGTTCTGTAATGCTTAAAGTTATTTGAATCAAAATAAATAATAAACTGTGACATTTGAGTTTTCTTCATTTAAAGAAAATTCATGGACGATGAAAATGAAAGAAAAAATGATTGATTTATTTGCAAAAGATTTCGATCATTTAACAGATAGTGAAATTCGTATATTTGAGTTATTGAATAAATCATTACCAAATGGAAAATTTATTTTTCTTGGACCAAGTCTTAAATTAGAATTCATGGTAAAATGAAAAAAGGCCACTGAAAGTATCTTTCTTTTTTTTCTTTCATTCCAGGACGAAGGTCTTTACCATCTACGTCTAACTTATTTATGGGGTGATCAATTTTGTTTAACAAGTGTTGATCTTTTAGTTCGTAGGATTTTCTTTTCGATCAGAACTTATTCTACATTGAGATTTACTTTAGCTATTGATGATAAGTAATACAGCAACATTGACAAGTTATACATTTACTTATTTTCTTGCTTGTATATTTATATTAATCTTAATGGTAATTTTATGGATAATCAATATCATATTTTATGAAAAAATCTATAAGAAATACTGGAGATATTTTTTTCAAATTAAAAAAGAAACTTTTTTTACACCAAGATCAACCAATGATCATATTAATTTTAAAATGTTAGTTAAAATTCGTGAACAATCACAAAAATTATTACCTTATAAATATCTTATTTCGGAAAGAAATAATTTCAAAAAAATAACTATTAAATAGCAATATTTATCTTTTATTACTCGAATTTATAATAATCATGGATGACTTCAATGATACATTCATATCACATAACATTGATTTCTTATTTATCATAACAGGAAACACTGTGGTGATCCGCATAAAAAATGATAATTTTTCATGTTTAAACTTGTGATTTAAAAAATAACGGTTCCGATGGTTAAACAAAATTTTCTTTAGTATATGTGTGTGAAATGTAAACAGCGTTAATTGAATGACGAATATTCTGATCGGACTATCAGATTTAAAAGTAAAACTATTTTGTGAGAGCCCGGATACGGAGAAGTTTAATCAACCGGGTCCGAGTCGGAAACATGCCAACTAAATCGGCTCCCAGAAAATTTTCAACTCAACGAGCTGTAATGAGGAATTGTGGTTCAGCAATGATAAAAAATTTCTTCTCTGTCCGTAGAACAACAAAAAAATTGATTTTATTTGAAACATTTTTAGAAATAAACAGATACTTTTCTATTCTCGAATTTTATTCCTTATTTGGATTGAGGAAAAAAAGAAAGAAGATTTACTTCTACAGAAATATAAAATAATGTATTAGCGCATTACAATCAAATGTATCCTGATTTATTCTCTATAGAAAATTAGAATTCATCAAGTTTCTAATTATTGAATGAAAAGAAAATTAGTTTGTATCTAGCTTCCTATGCTTAGCAGTTTCTTTCCTGTTACCTGCTGTGATCAACTAGTCTTTTTTTTTCAGTTTCTCTCTCGTTCATAAAAAATTCAACAGCAATAGATTCAACATAGATTTTTTTTAATTATTTACTACAAGTAAGAAGAAACCAAGGATCATTTTTTTCCCGTATATTCATGATGGAAAAAATAATAAATATTCTATTGATTCATTGAGATTTGATAGGATATGTCCACTTGATGATAGAAATAAGAAAGATTTTACTATCAAGTGGACAGTTTGATTAGTTCAATTCATTGATTTTCTATAGCACTATGTCGACAAACGACACGATCTGAATTCGATTAGTGAATGAAGCTCTGATGGTAGAGCTTCCTTTTCCTTTCCTTTTAATAGCATCATGTATCCTAATGAAGACTTGAATACAACTAAAACATACGACGTGCCATTTTTTGTGTCAACATTGAAAAGAGATTGATGACGAGGGTCAATATTTTTCTATGCTCACAACACAAACGGCCATTAGCAAATGCATACATACATACATACACACTAACACCTCTCACACCTCTAATGATCATTACACATCCGGCGATAGAAATTTTGTCAATGAAAATTTACTATTTTGTTAATATAGCATCATTCTTTAGGAGGCAAAGAGAGACAACATCCATTATAAATCTATCCGCCTGATTACTTTCGTATTGTTTGATTCATATAATCATAAAATCTCTTTTTTGTCTTGAACGGCTACGAGCACCGACTCGGTCCCGTATTTATATATAATATATATATATATATATATCTATGTATGTATGTGTGTCTAATAAGCAATTATCGAGAAAGTGCGACAAGAGATGCTCTGACAATTGTTCCCAAGAGAAAAAAAATAAGAAGAAAAGAAAAAATCGAGAACGACCATATACAGAGCTTATCCGTTGTCCCCACTTCGGCTCTAATTTTACTCTCGTTTATAATTCAAGATGTTCTCTCTTCGTTTTCTTATTCTCTATCCCATATGCGTATTAGTAATTTTCATCTCTTATTCGTACTAACATCATCTTAGACGATGTCGTCTATTATTTATTGATGCTGGGAGGTAGAAGCAGCAACGCTAATTTATTCTCTTCACCTACACAGTCGGCCAGCCTGCCTCATACTACGATAAGTGTAGAGCAAAGCACAACAGGAGGGCTAGATGAAGAGAGAGAGAGAGAGAGAGAGAAATCAGCGCTTTTCTCTGTCACTCTCGTTCGATCAACAATGAGTGGGTCATGGTTCACACACATTGTCACATACATACATGCATATACACATCGATTATATACAGCAGCCGGAGCAATCCCGGTATGGTGCAATTGGCGACAAGAAACGAATGAATGCGTGACAGGGCCAAATCAATCCATCATGTCAGCATACGAACTATTAAAGCTTTGAGATATAGGAGAAAAAGAATGTGAAAATTATGACATTATACTTAATCGAACATGGCTTCATATTTCTGCATGTATATAGATTTATATATATATATGTATGTATATATATATATATATATTTCTTTCTCTTTTGTTTTATACAACAAGAAAACGTTTCTTTCCTTTTTCACTGTGTATCCAGGTCGCGTGTGTGAACAAATAAACGAAGAACCAAAAAAGAAAAGAAAAAGAAGATTGGAACCAGACAGAAAAAAAAAACGTTTTGGAATCCACACAGAGAAATGTGTATAAAAACGAACAAAACGGCACGAACACACGTATACAGCCGATGCGACAAAATAGAGTGAGATATGACAGATAGAGAGAAAAAAAGAAAAAAAACGAAGATGTCATATGAATTGAGATTCAAATAGATTGCACATCGACCGGGCTTTGCTTTGTCTTTTGCTTTTGTTTTGTTTGTTTTCAAAGAAGAACGGAAAACAAATAGGCCTTTTGCTTACATATGCTGTTCAGGTGATGATGGATCCGGTGGAGAATAATCTTGATGTGAAATTGGTGCAAGCGGTGGATAAAAATGTTGCTGAGATGATATAGGTTCTGGTTTCATATATGAATATGGGTGATTACCACCATAACCATATTGAATAGGTGGTGGTGGAGTTTGAGGACTTGTACTTGCTGGTGGACCATAATGATACATAGGCGGTGGTGGAAATGAATGTGAATAAAGTGCATTTGGATCTCCCATTGAATAGGGTGGATTGCAATCATTTAAATATGGTGATGACGATGATGTTGATGCAATTACGTTTGATGGTAAACCCCAACTTGTACCACGTGGTGGTGGTGGTGGTAATGATTGTGGTACTTGTGATAGGTTTGATGTTGATGAATTTAAATGATGTTGAGGATGATGAAGATGATTTGATTTGTCTTTTTTCTGTTGCGAATGGTGATTATTCATTGATGATGAATTATGATTATTTGATATTGGTGCTGCTGGTTGTAGATTTTTTGTTTTACGTCTCGGTCGATACTTATAATCTGGATGTTCTTTCATATGAATCGCACGTAAACGTTTAGCTTCATCGATAAATGGTCGTTTATCATCTTCATTTAAATTTTTCCATTCAGCACCTAAACATTTACTTATTTCAGAATTATGCATCTTCGGATTTTCTTGTGCCATTTTACGTCGTTGTCCTCGTGACCATACCATAAATGCATTCATTGGTCGTTTAACACGATCATCAAGAGATTTCTTCGATGATTGATGATGATGATGGTGGTGATGATGATTTGTTGACATAGAATTAGGTGTTAATGCTGATGATGATGTTGGCGGTGTTGTACCTCCAGGAGATGATGACATTGGTGATGATGGGTCATCTTTAGATGAATTTGAATTCGGTCCATTCATTCCATTGGAATATTGAGATGGTGGAATTTGTAGATGATGTTGCATCATTAAATGTGAATGAGAATGATGCGGATTCATCATCCAATTGGCCGGTGGTGCTTGTTGTAGTAATAGTTGTTGCTGCTGCTGCTGCTGCTGTTGTTGTTGTTGTTGTGCTGTTGATGGATTTTGTACTGAAGGGTCATAAATATTTCCAGGATGATGATAGGGTACATGATGATGAGGATAATGAGATGTATTGAAGGGCGATAACTCGTTATTCGAGTCCATATTATACAGAGACACCATAGCTTAAAAGAAAAGAAACAAATGAGATAATTGAAAAATAAATTCAAGAAAAATAAATTCCATACTTTTAAAAAGAATTTTAGATAATCAAAACACTTAGCATTCCATTGGTTAGCGACTGAAGAAAAAAGAAATGATGATGATGATATTATGATCATTATGACTTGTTTTATTATCTGTTGTAGACAAATGTCATTCTCAATTGTACTATGTATATAGCAATTACACATTTAATTCATTCTTTTATTCATTCTTCTTTTTTTTTTGTTTTGTTTTTTTCTTTTTCTTCTCCCTTTTTGTTTTCTCTATTGTTATAGAATAAAAGGAAGAACTTTACCTGGTGTATATGTGTTTGTTAATAAGAAGAAACCGTCATGTTGATGAGATGAATTCAATACAATACAATCGGATCGATATTCAATGTGCCTGACGCCGACGCTTTACTCCCGGTTTTTTTCTCTTCTCTTTCTTTCTCTCTCCCTCTCCCTCTCCCTCTCTCCCTCTCTCTCTCTCTCGTTTTCTCTACGGATGGAAGCACAAAAGATAGAGGAGAAAATTTTTTTGGAGAGCGAGAGAGAAACAGAAATAAAAGCACTGGATTCGTATAATATCCTCTTTCAATAGCAGCACATGGCTTGCCGTGTGTTATTCGAAAGGTGTGAGCATGTATTGTTCTCTCTTTTACTCTCGTTCTCCGCTAATAACAGCAGCCGGGTCAGGTAATATATTCAAGCAAACGACCGCTTTCGTTCGTTTCCCCTCTTGGCAGAACGCAACAGAGAGAAAGAACGAGAGAAGAATTTTTTCTCTCTTTTACTCCGCCAATACGCTGCCATCCGACGCAAATGTTATTTCGATTGGCGTATAAGACCTAAAATACAACCAATCATTTATATAGAGAACCAAGACAGACATAGACAGAAGAAGGAGAAAAAGAAAAAGAAAAATTCATTAGAATAGTTTATTGTTTGCTGTTGTTACAATTGACACGATTGTAAATGCATCCATAGAAAAAATTGTAAACAAACATACAATGAAATAACATGAAAAAAAGAATGTCAAGAAATAAAAATGCAATTTGTTTGTTTGCTTGTGAATCTAAAATAGAAACAAAAAAAAAGACTAATATTCTAGTTCGACTTAAGAAAATATTTTTATCCGGCTTATGATAATATTGCAATGAATATTAAGAATAACAACATATTTGTCTAATCTCTTCTAACACCTTCTTCTTTTTCTTTTTCATTTTTATTATAAAACTATTTGCCTTATAGCTAGATAGATAAGAAAACAGTAATTATGTCTGATATAATATCAACGATTAAACGTTCATCATATCAAGTGATAACATACGGAATGTTAAACTGCATTTGTCACCTAAATATTCAAGTATAATTATCGACGGGAAAGAGTGCGCGATAGATACGTATGACACGGACACACATACAGTTTTATATTTTTTTTGATTCGTAATCTTTTTCACGTGCATGCACTCGAAATATTCTGCTCAATAATTACAACTTTACTTCCTCTTGCCATCGTGTTGAGTTACACAGCATGTTATTTCAGAGAATCCAGTTTCGTTCGATGGTAATTAATTAATTGAATAATCCATAATTGAGTTTGAACGTGACATACGATCGTTTTTTTTCTAGGCTTGAAGAACTATTAGAAACTTGTCTTTTGGTAACAGATGGCTACGATCATCATCATCATTATTATTGTTATTATCATCATCATCATCATCAGTTTCATTTGTACATATCAAGCCCGTTCTAACTTGCTTTCTCTCCGTCTTTTTTCTGCTTCTACTTCGTCTTGTTGGCTCTTGAGTAGCTATCGGGCAACAACTGTGCTACCTTCCGAGAACATGTATCAAGGCACCAGCAGCATTTCCGTTTGTTGCTTTTTTATTACTCGAATATACAAACTAGAGAATAAAAAGAAACTGATTGAGCAGAAAAGAAAGTAAAGTTCGATTTCTAATCATCAATATACAGTATACCTCTTTGCTCATTCAAGTATATTTGCCTTCTATTATTCGTGATTCTATTTGCTTAATTTTTTCGAGTATGTTTGTAGACTAAGAATCATGCATTTTTACTTCACCTCTACTCGAACTAAATAAATATCAATGCTACTGAATGCTTTTGAAACAAAACGAGTATGATCAACGTTAACAGATTATTCTATTATTAATCATCACCAATAGTATGGCGTGTTTATATGTGTTGCTTGATTTAATTTTCATATTGTTATTTTGATTGATCTTTCCCGATGGTGCAAGAAAAAGAAGAGAAGGAAAAAAAATGAAAAAAGGTGCTGGATCCGCCCTTAATCAGCTACGCTCAACGAAATGAAACATAAAATTATGTTGATATATATATTTGGATGTATTATGTTAAATGAAAAAATAGTCAACAAAATCTAAATTTTTTTGAATTGAGCGGATGCTGATAAGCATCCGGTGATATGTGTCAAATAAGCAATTTAAAAGGAAATTGCACACATACCGTTGTCTACGATACGTGTGCCAACGTAAGAAAGATCATTTTGACACCTTCTTGTCTCTCGTTTTTATTTCTCTTTCTCTGTTCATTACAACAATAAATGATGATCGATGTGTATGTGCATTTGTGTTATAACCTCGTTAATGTGCCCGTTGGCTGAAGAAATATAGTTGTATGCTATTTTAACAAAAAAAAGAATGCAAAGTAATGTTAGAACACCTTGCAATGTGTGTTCACTTAAGCGTATTTGTGGGAGACAGCACCTTTATATTTTTTATGTGTATTTGATTGTGCATGAATGAACATGGGTGTTCTCTATGCGAAAGATATCATCCGTTTGATCCACCATTAAGAAATAGAGAAAGACTATTTCCCAGGAGTAAATGGGTTGGCTCGATGTAATGAAGCGAAGCCTAAAGGCGGGATCTATGCCATTCGATTATTGACAAAGAATGTCTTTCTTTTTCTTTTCTGTTTTTAATTATATAGACAAGTACCTTATCCATTAAGAATATGAATTTCTCGATCAAACGAATATAACCGACAAACATTGGCAATTATTTCCTGGCGACATGCAAATGAATTCTTTCGTGATATTGAACCGGTGATGATGATGATATTCTTCTCTTTTTCTCGTCTTATGTGCGTGACTTAAGCATCGATTTAAGATCTCGTATCGTCTTTTGATGAATGTCTAGGCTCTATTCAATGTATATATATATATATTTCTTCTTCTTCTACAACTAGTATGGATTGGAACGACGATGCCAATTAAACGGACGTAGTTCGACTTCCTTCCGTTCCTGTCGGTCGGAAGGTGAATGAAAGCAAAGACGAACGATAGTTGAAGTTGAAGAGAATGAATATAAGAGAAGGATACTTCAACTGATTCTCAAGTAGCAATTTTCTCGTGTTGCTGTCCAGCTCTTGACTTGTGTGCTTGAAGAGAAAAAGAAAGATATCATCATTCTCTCAGAGATCAATTTTCTATCGTTCACATAACATTAAGTGTTGTTATTGGCGTTATTTGAGAAATTCGATCGTATATAAACGATGGAATACAAACATTTGTCACATTTTTTTCTCTTAATGTCACAACATTCTTTATATATATTCGCATCATTAGTTCATATGCATAAAGTGAGAAAAAAAAATCTAATTAGAAAATTGAATTGTTCGTGCTCATGAACATATCCCTTCTCGTCTTTTTTTTTCCCAATAGAGCACCGATCATCATCATCATCATCATCGATTGAAGAGAAAGTGAGTGAATTGCGTGACCAAGCGTTTCTCTAGTGGTTATATGTTTGGGTGACAAACAGACACGACAGGGATGATGATGCTGTCAATGAATATGTACATTGTGTACAGGATATATGTACGAATGCTCGTGATTTGATTCGATTGGGGACTTTGTGTGCGTGTCAATCGAAACAAATTGTCATCATAGACAGACAGACAGACAGACTGGCGCATAGATTTAAAGAATGAAATATAATTTTCGCATTTATATACATATTTCATTTTGCGTTTTTCTTTTTGTTTGAAAGACGAGACGAGATGAGTCTTTATGTTTTTCTTCGGTCTGTCCGGCAAGACTCAAGTCAATATTTACTTATTGTCTTTACTAATCCTTTACTCTGTGTATGTCACGCGCTCAAGGCAAAGTGAAGGTCGTTCACTTAACACATCTACACTCATTATCAGCTTAGCAAAAATAAAGGAAGGATTGAACAATATTGTTGATTGATAAACAATATTTAGACTGGTACTTATTCACGATCAATTAGATTTTCAAGTGAATGAAGTTTTCTTGTTGCTGTGAATCAATTTATGCAGACAAACACAGGAAAAATAAGGCTTCTACAAAAATTCTTTGAAGTCAAAAAGAAAATCAATAATCACATCATGCATTGCAATATTTTAATTTATTCTAATAAGTATATGAAATAGTTCATTCACATGGAAGAGTAATTGCATTTTTTTCTCTCTTTATTAAATCTAACAAGAGAAAAGTCAAGGAAGAGTGACTTTCTCAATCTAAAGCAATTCATTTTATATCACCTTGATGACCTCTATAGATGTTTAAAACTTGGTTGTTTCTTCTTTGGAATCTTTTGAGAATAAGAACCTTTCGTTCAACTATTTTGAAAAATACAAAATTTCTCTTTTACTATTAGTAAACTCGATCAACTGTAACCAAACTCATGAAATTAACTTTCGATATCAATGATTCTACTGCTTTTAAAATTTCTCTTCGTACATCCAAGCTCATTATTTTATTTTTCGACTTCGCTCTCATACACCTAATGCCACCTATGAAAGTGCTAGGCGATACATAACGACATCTAGCGGCTGACAAAACTTTTCTGTGCTTCTTGAATATTTACATGAAAAACAATCTTTACTTTCGATGTTTAACAATGTTTAAAATAACACTTTGAAAGTAATCATGCGTGTGTTTTTTGACTTGATCATGTCAATATTAGTTTTTTGTTTGTTTGAATGTAAATAGAAATTTGAGATCTTACCTGTTAAAATAACTAATAATTCTATCATCGATACGTGGCAAAGTCGTTTGCCCATCAACACAACTAATGTTGTGTGATATCCGATGTTAAATAAAATAGAATTTTCGTATCCATTAACAAGTTGTTGTAACACATTGAGTTATACGAAGAAACCAGTAGTTGTAGATATACTATTCAGCGCCTTCGTTTCAGAATTATGAATGTAAGCAGTATGCATATTCACGTATATATATATATACATGAATAGTAGCACTTGTCGACACAACAGCATCTATTCAAAATATACAATATATTCAATTGAATTCAGTAGTATTTGTAGTAGCAACTTCTTTTTTTCTCTCTCTCCGTGCTTTCAAAGCACCCACATATACACGACACAAAAGCCGCTTAGATACGGTTGATTGAAATGGCAGTTGCTCTGTCTCTTTCTCTCATTTTTTTATATTTTTCTCTCTCTCTCCCCTTTTTTTGACCCACATGAATTGTCTTTGTGTATCGTCGTCGATGCTGAGTATAAAGGATACTCTTCACTTCTCCTGTGTGTCCCTTTTGTTCGTATGTCCTCTCCTTTTGAAATCAACACAACAATAACACATCCATATATTCATGAGGCAGTCAAGCAGGCGAATGAATGAATGAATGAATGAATGAAAAGAATGAAAAGAATGGATGAATACATGAATGAATGAATGAAAAAAAGAAGGGAGGAAGGTTGCCCTATAGGTATTCTGCATAATAGTAGAAGACGAGTAAAGAAATCTTTCATCTCATCTATGCCTACCTGATCTATAAATCTGACGAGGCATGCACATACAAATCTAGCATGATGTGAAAACGATTGTTCGCTTTTGTTTTACATGAATGTGCCTCCAGCATGACAGGAACGATAAAATAAAAAGAAAGTAAAAAAAGCAAAGAAAAAAGCACCATCAATATCTTTATTCATATAAAAACTAAAGTAAAAATGTAGTGTAAGATGACAGGTCGTTAAATTTTAGTGACAACGTTCAATTCTTTTCAACTCATTTCTCATCACTATTCAATATGACAATCTTGTCTATTTGCATTCTATTTCTTTTTAATTATGTAGCCTTCAACAACAGCAGAAGAACAAAAATGAAACAAAAGACATGAAAGCTAATCCGTAAAAGAATATTTAGCTATTTAATCTCACATTGTTCCGTGAATACAATGGTTAAAACAAGTGTTCATTGCGAAGTAATTCGGAAAAGTATTTGCAAAGTCGAGAACAAACAAAAATGTCATCTTTCAGCATTGGGAATTTGACAATACCTTCTTTTGATTGCATGAAGTGAAGAAGCAACTAAATCTCTAGTAAATGAGACAACTGCGAGTTGTCTAGGATATTTTTTTAATGAACTGCATCAATTTTGAGAATAGCAGAGGAGTATCTTTATTCTGCTTTTTTTTGCCACGGGAAACTTCCTACCGAATCGATTGTCTGTTGCTCGAGACAATGTTTCATATCGGAGTTTTTTTCTATCTGGAACTGTTAAGCTGAGGTTTTTTAAATAATCTGGAAGATTATATTTTCTTTAAAGGCTTATCAGAGAACAATTTTCTCTATCGAAATCTTTGTTGGCGTATGCCAAACATCTCATTTCGAACAATATTGCACGAGGCGTCAATTCGGTTTTATTTTTAGCAAGATACACCGTCGTATAAATTTATCTTCAGGCTAAATCTACGTTTCGTCTACAAGAAAAGTTTTCATCCAGTCTGAGATCATCAGAATTTTTTGTAAGTAGTGAATCAAATGGGTTTTCAGACGCGCGCCCGCAAACGAAAGTCGTGTAATGTTCGGTTCGAGAAAAATAAAAGTTACCGTAGTTCATCCTATGTCAAATGTGTACTGGTCAATTTCGTAGCTAGTAGAACACCTCTAATGTCCTAAAAGCCATCGGCATAGTACTATAATATTCAGTATTTTTAATGGAAATGCTTTTTTAACCATCTCTACAATACAATGTTTCTCTAAAGCTATGTCTATCGAAGTACCCGATTTTTTAAGCTATAGACTCAAGTTTAAAAAGCCTCACATAATTATGTTGCCTATTTTATTTTCAACTAGTCTCAAACCTATATTTACATGGCTTTATTGATAAATCATTAGGTATAGGTTTTTAATTGTTAATCTAGCATACCCCCATATTTTGTCTGGAAATATAATTGATAGAAAATTTTTCTTCTTTGAACATATCTTGACTTGCCATAGAAATGATAGTGCTCGTAATAAACCGAGTGACATGTTACAGAAATAAATTCAACCATTTACAAAAGCTTTAATTAAAAAACTATTTCAGCTTTAAGTCATATTCATCGATGCACAGGTAATTTGTTAAAAGCGCTTTTCTTCTCTAACTTTCTCCTTCTTTTCTAACTAATGATCATCATCTCAGCTATAACACTTAATAGGCAGCAAATAGATAATGTGTATGATTTAGCGACAATTCTTTTGTCAATATTTATCTATAAAAATGAATAATAGTTAACCTCTAGTAGATAAAAACTAATATAGATATAATTGAAAAAGAAAACTGTCTTTTAACTAAATAATTTTGTTTAGAAGAAGAAGAAGAAGAAAAAAAAAACTTAGTTTTACATTACCGCCTCGAACTTCATCATCATCCATTCATTATTTCAAAAAACTAATATTTCATCAGATACAAAAAATAAGATTCCGGTTATTTAAACTGACGTTGAAGACAAAAATATAAACATATATATTTATCATCGTTCTTTTTTTCCAAACTGTCATTAGCAAAGAAGAATTTTTTCTTTTTAACTCTTGTCTTTTGCATAAATCTTACATAAAATAAGACAATGAATTTATTTCCTTGAGTAAATAGAATACAAGCAACTAATAAAAGAAGGAAAAAAAATCATATGCATATTATAAATCATATCCGTATTGCATAAATATAAGATCTATTGTGCGCTCGTCACCAAACATATCACAAGAAGAAAATATAAATTAACAGCTGAAAAATATATCGTTTACATGTTTTGGAAGACGAAAAAACGCACATAAAGAAAGAAAAAAAAATCAATCAGAAAAGTAATGTATCAATATGCAAATATGCTCGTGGTACACGTCCTCGTTCTTTTGTCTGTGGTCGTTCTACTGTTATCCAGTCAGAATCATGGGAATGCTTTTCATTATCATCAAGAATTATGTTTACAGTCTAGAAAATAAAGAAAAGTGTTTTGTCAATAATATTAATTTGCTTTTTATCTTATTACTTCTTTTGCAAGAACACTTAGTTCATGATGATCTGACGCATCGTAATCAAATTTAACAGTAGCAGTTCGTAATGCTTGAATTGTACGAGGTGTCGATGAAGCAGCAGCAGCAGTAGCCGCTGCTGTTGAATTCAATGATGATTTCGATAAGCTAAAATTAAATAGTTTTTCTTAATTTTGTTTTTAATTATGAAAAAATTTTTACCCAAGTTGTTTACGTAAATCTTCAAGAATTTGAACAGACTGCCGATGATATTGAACTTCAGATTCGACTAAATCATTTAAACAACGTAAATGATGAGTCTAAAGAATCCTATTTAATGATGTTATTATTTATAAATGATTACGACATACATGGGAATTATTTAAACCATCAAGCATTAAACGAGTTAGTTCTAATTGACGATCGAATTCTGCTTGTGCATGACGTAATTCCGTATCCGAACTCTTCGAAAACAAAAACGATCATAACAACAACAACAACAGAATAGCAATTATTTAATGATTACATCGGCCATTGCAATTGCTACATTACTATTAATTGTTTTTGACTTTTTCTTTTTGGATTTTGCAGCATCAAGATCAAGACGTTTGATTTCTAATGTACGACGTTCTTTCTGGATTTTGAAAATTTATTCGTCATTACTATATTTAGTTCTAAGAAAAATATATATTTACTGTTAGTGACTTCATTTCACCGTCGAGAAAACTTTTTAATGGTTGCATAAAACCACCAGCTGATGAATGAACAAATTCCTTATGGGCAAGGCCTAATTTTTGATGAAATTGGCCACATTTGATCAATGCTGAACCTACATGAAATAGAGAAACTTTAGAAAAACAAAATACAAATATTTTTCATTTTGTTACCGTATTGTGTTGATGGACCAAAATCATTTCCTGCTTCACACATACATTGACCGAGTTGTTCATAAATATTTGGTTTATTTACAGTTTTTTGATCGAGTTTTGTTAGTATAAATTCTTCAAGACGTTCATCTATAAAAAAAAAAAAGAAGAAGGAGAGGAAGAAGAAGAGGAATGCATGTGAATAACTAAGACAAGAAAAGATTCCTACTAATATTAGGTTGAAGAACAGTTTCAACATGTGATGCTAAGCGTTCCGTCCATAATTTTGTCCGATCCGCTCGCGCCAACATTTCTTCGAAGTTCTCATCGTATTCAGTTCGATCGGTTGCTTGTCCTAGTTTTTCTTCAGTGAACTAAAACAAATCATGTTTTTCGGAAAAAGTATATATATTCATTTAAATATTTATAGAAAATTAACCTGTTTAGCTCGTGAAAGTAGAGTGCCAGCAGCCTTTAAATTGAAGTTCATAGTATTTCTTCAATACTGGTTATTGTCTGTAAATAAATAGTTATGTATATGTGTGCGTGCGTTTGGTTGGCCGGAAGACGCTTAGGGTGAGCGAGAAAGCGTGTGAGCACACACACCCACACACACACACACACACACACACACACACACACATACTCACATAGATTTATTAACTTTCACTTGTTGCTTGGCGTCTAAAAGAAGAAGAAGAAGAAGAAGAAGAAGAAGAAGAAGAAGAAAAAAGGAACCCCATCATACTGAGAAGAGAAAAATAGAAAAAGTCGAAGGAATGGCATTTCCAGATGTTACGGGGCGAAGAAAAACTAAGACAGCAGTAGCAAATCGATCATTCTATTTCACTAAAACCCAACAACAAGCATTGGGCGATTAGATGAAGAGAAGGAAGAAGGAAAAAAATAGAGAGAACGGCGAAAATGATAAGGGATTTGATTTAGTTTCGTTCTTTTCTAGTTTCACTTCTTATTTCATATTGTTCTTCTACGTAGTATCACTAAATATGCAAATGAAGTGGTATTTTGATGTTAATAGCTATTCAACGGCTGTTTCAAGTGCTTAATGCTACTATCATTAGAAAAAAAAATGAGCAAAAGAATAGCAAAGCCAAAATGGCAAAGAGACAAGCAAGAATATTATTGAATATAGAGAGAGAAAAAACGTGTTTGTTGTTCATGCGAATATAAGAATGAAGCTAGATAATATTAATTTTTCCCGTTGGCAACTATAGATTCTAATTCATTATTAAATCTCATTTGATTTAATAGAGAAAATAGTATCAACTTCCGGTTTCGCTTTTGTTGGTTTATTTTATCTAGGCTCTTGTTAACTCTTAATCCTATACCTAGAATACTTTGTGTTCTTGATTAGATTACATATGAACTGCTCTTGCAAAATCATTTTAAGCTACTTGATAATAATCTACAATTACCTAATAGAGCTCGCTCTTATGAACGTCAAGATTAGAAATTTACTTCGATGAAGTAATTGCCTGGAAAAACGCAACTTGTTCTGTTAATGTGAGTTATTTCTTTTTCAGTTCTATGATGACGCCAATGTCTCTTTTAACAGCATGGCGCATGTTGTCTTACATACAGAATACATATTAAAAGCTAATATATATTAAAAAGAATCAATAGAATCATTCGGGCGATGTCTATTGGGGAATCTATTTAAAAAGAAATACTCTTCACTGAAACTGTCATATTTCCTTGATAGAAACTTTGAGATTTATATAACGATTTTGAATCTATTGATGTTTTAAGAGTGAAATTCAAAAGAAAAAAAAGAAAGAATTGGTTTTTATAAACTTAAATTTATTTTTTTTTCGAGTAGAAACAATAATAATCGATATCAACGTTAAATTAACAATAAAATTTCGATTGAAATGATTAAATAAGATAATTTTTGATAATTAGATATTGTACTTGATAGAGCTAATGGTTTGGAATTTGGATTTGTCGGTTTTGGATTCGTCGGTTTTGAAGATGACGGCCTTGGATATGTCGGATTTGGATTTGAATTTAAGTTTGAATTTGAATTTGAACTTGTCGATTTTAAGACATCATTGATCCAATCAATATAACCAGCTACGCGAGTGTAAACACCTAGACAAAAACAAGAAAGCTTAATTAAAATTTAATTTTTATTCTACAACAGAAAATTATTCATGACATTTTGTTTTGTTATTTCTTTTGTATTCCCTATTCCCTAGTAATCAGACAATAGGAAATAAAATTTGATTATTCTCGATAGAATAATTCTGGCGCGTACACACACACACCCACATGTAGATTTCTCTAATTTCCTACCCGGTTTCATAGCTTTGGCACATCCTACACCAAATGAAACAAGCCCAATTAATTCAAACATTCCGTTTCCAGTTTCCACTACAAGTGGCCCTCCAGAATCGCCTTGACATGAATCTTTGCCACCCTGATCATAGCCTGCACATATTTGTTTCGCTGGTGCAGTAAGTACTTGTTTGCAGCCTTGATTCTTTGTGATTGGCACTGATACTTGCAGAAGTATTGGAGAAACTTTACCTTGAAATTGTGTAGTACCCCATCCTACTACCCATCTAAATGATAAGAATATATTGATATTTTTATTGTATTTTATTACGAGAATCCTACGTTTGCTTTCCAATTGGTGGATAAGATTCGCCTTCATTAACATGGTTCACAGGTAAACATATAAAACCTATTCTACTATCATTAAAACTGACTGCTTGTTCCAGTTCAATAAGTACTATATCATGAATATTCATCCCATTGGAATTATATGATTTATGACGTACAACACGTTTTGGCTTTATGACAAGATACTTTTCTTGTATAGCATTGTGGCCCATTGCAAATGTGAAATCTTTATTTTGACCTGGATGATATCCTTTAAAGCAATGTGCAGCTGATAGTAGATTTCGATTGTTAATCAAAACCCCGCCTGAATATGTTAATCAGTTTTTATAGAAGACAAAAAAGAAAACATTCATAAATTACCGCATATATGACTACCATATTTTCGAATGCTAACGATCCACTGAAAACAAAAATGGTTTTGTGGAAAAAAAGAAAATTATTGTTTTAGAAGCTTACTGGCCAACTATGTGGTACAGCTGGTTTACCGCCAACTATACGAGTATGTAGTGAGGGTGCGGTTTTTGCACAACCACATTGTGTAGATGACCATTGACATGAATGAATATGAGATATAAATAAAAATAAAAGTTGAATAGCTAAATGCATAAGACGAGACATAGCTTTTGTATTGAAGATTTTATTTATAAGAATCTAATTTATGTTAACCTATGCAGTAGATAATTAGAAATGAGCGATGATTCATCTCATCTAATTATTGTTTCGCAAAAGCTACATCTAAATTATGTTTATTTTTATTCTACTAATAAAAACAAGTAGCTATAAGTTTTGACAGCTTAGCTGAACTAGTATTAGACAATATTTGACCTTGAATAACAAAGCTATATTTAATTATTGTTGTACAGATGAAAGATGACATTTATTTATGTATGAATAATTATGACTTAAGCATGTCATTAAGTCTGATAGAATTAACATCAATAACGCTGAGAAGCATTTGACAACATCGAATAATGTATTAAAACAAAAAAAAAGCAATAGATCAGATTTTGCTATTGATTGAATATTGATAAGCTGTTGTATCGTATTTTCATGATGAGTCTTGCGTATTATTTGAACAAGGAAACAAAATATTATTGCTATTGAATTTTAAAAATTATGAACGAATGAAAAACTGCTACTGAATGCATACGGAGATCATAGATTCAATAAATAATGATTTCGACCTGATCTCGAAAAAGGATTATTTTTCTCAGAGTAGAAATATGCATAAACTTCGTTAAAATCGTATTTCAAGCTGTTAAAAAAGAATTTCATTTTATTGTTATCAGTTTTGATATGTTTTTACAAAAAAGACAACTAAGAATCAAATTCAACTGTTTATATTTTTGAATACCAATTATAAATTAATTGATGTGCTATAGCAATAGGTGGTGGAATACGAAGATTTTGATCGTTTTTATCAAGGTTAATATTTCGACTGCGCTGTATCATATCAGCTATTTCGTTTCGTGAAAACCATCGGCAATCTTCTAATTCTGAATCATGTAATGTGATTGTTTCGTCAGTAGCATATGCATAACATCCAATCATCAATTGTCCACCTAAAAATGGCCACGGTTGCGAATCAAAATAATGGGTTTGATTCGTATTAACAACAACACCACTTTCTTCCCAAACTTCACGTGAGCATGCTTCAGGTATTGATTCACCGGGTTCAATAAAACCAGCTAAACATGTATACATAGAAGGAGGAAATGATGGTTTACGACCAAGTAAAATATGTTCCTTATCGGAATGAATAACTAATGTTATAGCAACAGGATCTGTTCGAGGATAAAGTGTATGATTACATTTAGTACATTTGCGACGTGTACCACCTTCAAGTGAAATAGTCGGCGAACCACATTTACCACAATATTGATTAGATTCATGCCAATCGAGTAAAGCACGTCCTTGACCACAGACCGCTGCATCGATGACCGATAATTGAGGCAATAATGGCCGAAGATCCATATAAGTACCAGGTAGTTTATCAGCAAAACTTGGTGGAACCGATAGAGCAAAATAGATGTACTCATCTGGAGCTGGTTCAGACGCTAAAAAAAATTTACTAAGAGTTTCACTATCAATTTTTGTTGGTTCGCTCGTTGCCACTGATGATCGATCAACCATCGATTGGGAACTAATACCAAGTAGAACAAGTTCACATTGGTCAACGGTTAATTTGTGTTCATTATTATTATTATCGAATAAAAATTGATGTGTAAGCCATACAGGCTGTTTTTTTTCTTGATTGAAAAGTACTTTAAGTTGCCGATACGGTAAAAATCTTGATTGTGAATGTTGAACTATGTCTTGAAGAGATTTTCGATGAAGATTAAGACGATTTAATGGATTTCCTTGAAAACATTGAAAATTATTATTTAATGAGCAATGATCGAAAACCGATGAAAAATGAATTTCTGGACGTAACGACATGAATTTGAGTCGCCCTAAATAAGATTTTATTATTTGCTGCATCGCTCCTTATCCAGCAGAAAGCAGAAATACCTGGCCGCTTTTACATTTGGTTGTTTTAATAACCAGTCTTTTTATCTTCCACTACCACTATACTCTTTGTTTGTCAATCGGCAGATGACTCCAGTTAATGGTTGAAATAATTTTTCTTTACTTTAAAAATACCATCGATACTTCTTTCGATCTGTTTATGATGTAAATGGATGTTTATTTGTCGATACCTTTCAAGTATGTGTCTGATTAAATATTATCAAGCCATTGCTCGGTGGACGTCCTTTTTCTTACAACTCTTTCACTGAAACCCGTACAAATATCTAACACATAAGCAGTAGATTTGATTTTCTGATAAATTATCTAAACAAGCGATTCTAAATAATTGGTATATAAAAAATAAATACTACGAATAAAAGTAATCATGCATTATCATGAAATTTCAGAATGTTTTTGTGTTTAAATTAAAAGATGAGAATCTGTGTGTATGTCGTCATTTTGTTCTTTTCAAGCCTCTAAATCGAAGCGCACACATTGCCGTATACCTTCTTTCATAGAATTGGTAAACTTGAGTCATTGCGTTTTCTTTACTTTATGAAATAGATACAAAAACTTGATTGTTCAAAAAGTCTAGACAAATACCGGAGGAGTCATCATGAATGTGGCAGTTAGTATTTTGACAAATATCTTAGCACAGAAAAATCATAGAGTTCTAACGCTTTTTTTCTCAAAATATTTACTGTAAAATTTTCTATCAAGTAAGTTCAATGGTATTTTACACAAGACTAAAAGTGAAGCAATCTATGATAGTAATAGATCCCTTACCTGCAACAAGATGAATATGTCTCATATATGGATAAAACATGTGATGAATGATCCTAAAGGAACATTAGTCTTCTCATGCATTAGATTTGAACTCATTGAGTATTCTATTTGAGATAGTGTCAATATAAAAATACTAGCTTTCAAAAGATCGAAACACCAGAACATGTCAAACATGAAGTAAGTAGAACCTACCCATAAAAGTCGATGTGAATTATGCTCATCATTGGACCGCGTGTTCTTTTCTCTTAGAAGTTCATGTAGTTAAACATCTAACAGGAATGATACTTTGAAATAAGCATAAAAATTTTTCTAACGCTATTTACATTTTCCTACTCTCCGAATTACGATATTTTTCACTATCATAGACGGCTTCACGTTTAGCATTATCAAAATATCATTGAGCTAACTCGATAGAATTTCTCAGTATCATTTTAGTAGAGAATTTCATGGCGTATCTTTTGAAAACAAACATTAAAACTCTAAGATTTATCTGTGCTTAAATATTCGCAAGATCTTAACTATTGCAATCAATATGACTTGCCGTGTATAAGAAAATTTTTTATTTTCTGCTATTTCATAATGCATTTGAGTTTCTCTCCAAGCTCGTTTTTCTTCATTTTGCCACCACGTACATGTCAGCACAAAACAACGATTCTGATCGTTGTTTTGTTAGCATAATGATTACGGGTTTTCTCTACAGTCGATTGAGACAGCCTGAGGCCGATTCGTTTTACTCGATGAGTCATCTTTTGTTCTTTGAGCTAATATTTGCTTTAATGTCATCAACAGCAAGCAATATATTGTTGAACATAAGGGTATTCCAACTTTAGAATTTACCCAGTCCTTTTAAATGTAATGGTAACGCCAGTGAAAAGTAAACAGAATCGAAGAACTGTTGTGAAATTACTTCGATGTATGTCGCAATAAATGGAAAGTTTATGGTGCAACCATTTGGGTAAATTTGAGTATCTTTGTATATAATTCGATAGAATTCATTGAAGAAAACCTCATATTGTAATCGTTTGCAGAACATTTTGAAGTTCATTTATTTCAAATATTTAAAGATCATTTAAAGCGTCTATTATTATAAATTCTTATAACTTTGAGAGATAACAACAGGAGTAAGTACAATAAAAGCGAAGCATCTGCAGAACAGATACAAAAAATGAATATGCATCGATGATGGCCTTTTTTGCTTCTTTGTTCACTTAGGATCACATACAAATGAATAAAACAGTTGACATTGATATTCATAAACGGACTTTGTGGTTTCAAGAAATAAGTCCTGCAACAACGCAAAAATCATTAGAAAGGTTTTTGTCAGAATATCGAATTGAAAAATGTACGGTACCACTAGATAATTATGGTAAGAACAAAAAATTTTGTTTCAGAATATGAGAAAAATTTATCCGTCCTGCTAATGAGTTTTCAAGAAAAAACGCCCAGGAAAAAATGCGAAATTAAATTATCGTAAAACGTGTTGTGCATCAAGATAGCCATAGTATTTCATATCGTAAATAGTTGTGATTTCATAACTGTAATGTACATAAAGATAGCCGCGGTATATTACGTCGCGCTTTTCGACAAAAGTTCGTACTGCGGTAGTTTAGCTAAGTGCAAAACCTTGACCCGAGTATGCTGGCAGGTACTATTTAAAAAAAATGCAGTTTATCGCGGTCTGAAACGATGCATCATTAGAGTCTTTTAATAAACGCGAGAGTCAAACTGTTAATGTAGCTTTTGAAAACGTGTTTTCGGGCCCCCCCCCCCCCCCCCCCCCCCCCCCCCCCCCCCCCGCAGAGGGCTGCACGTATGGCTTGACTCCAGTTGTCTCGAATTACCGCTGAAAATTGCAGTTTCGAGCGGTTTTTTACTCAATTGTTATCGTGAAGCAAAATCACCTACGCTTTTCTAGGTCATAATAAACATTATGGATTTGTATTATTTGCCAAAGAATCAAGCACTATCGATCTCATGTCCAGAGGAAAACTCATCATTGATGATCAAGTAGTTTTTATTCATCGTTGTGTTCCTGACATAAAATCATCGAAATACAACCGTGACATCAAAACATTGATCGTTACGAGCACTGAAAGTCAGTCATTGCAAAAATCTGACTTGGAAAAGTATTTTAGTCGATACGGCGACATTGACTTTATAAATGATAATGGCAATGCTGCTGTAATTCACTTCAAACAGTAAGTTCAATTAGCATAATTTGAATCAATCTATTTATTGTTGCTTTCAATCTAGTTATGATTTTGTGGATCTTGCTTTGCTGGATAGACCACACATAATAAACAGAGTTCCTGTTAGCATTGAGAAAGGTGATCGAGATTTATCTACTAGTGGTTTGAATTCGAATGAAAACTACCCGACAACAAATAATTTTACTACAGCTACCAATAACTTGAATATGAAATTTGCAACTGGTATGCGTTTGTAGTATCTACGAACAACATTTTATTAATTAAATTTTAGATCTACATATATCACCACCTTATCCTCAAGAGGTGAAATATTGTATTCACATAAAGAATTTGCCAATGAGTATTGATGCTGAAACGTTATCCATCGCATTGAATTGGTCTATCAATGATATTGTCATGAAACAATCTATTGATGGTCAATCTTCATCAACTGAATGTTGGTTAAAAGGTCTAGATGATCAAGAAAAAATCAATAAATTTATACTTAATTCGAAACAACGAACGATTCATGAATCAATCATTCAATGGGAAAAAGAAGAAGATAAAATGGATTTGTGTGAATATTTTCGTACCGGCCGATGTGAAAGATTTGATGATGAATGTCATTGGCTACATGTGAAATGTACGAAGAATGATACATGCTCAACAGACTGTCCATACGGTCATGCAAAAGGAATTAAATCAGAACACTCAACTCTAAATAGTAAGTTAAACTTCTCGATTGAGAGCATGCCTGCTACTCATATATTGTCCAGTGCCTGTTTTCTACTTTAAACAAGAGTACAGCGTTAGTTCTATGTATTTCTGTTAACTGCATCTCGCACAAAGCAAACGATTTTCATCTTCTCGTTTTTACAATTTAAAATGGTTGCGATCCCTTGTACTCGTTGTGAGCTACTAGTATTTAAAATTCCAATAATAGAAAGAAGAGTTTCGACATTCTTTAAATAAGATTCCACATAGTTTTATTTTGAAAAGAACAATAATTGATACATTTATTTTCACTTTTACAGATGTTCGCACGACTTATTATATTATAATCAGTGGTTTCGAAACAAAGTTAACACGAAAAGGTTTAGCTCAATTATTACAGGAACCAGAAAAATATTTTTATATCGATGAAAAAGAGAATCACGTTGATTACATTAGTATTGCAATATCATTCAAAATTGCTAAAACATTTATGAAAAAGTGGCACGATCAATGCATTGGTGGCCATAAATTGAAATGTCAACTAGAAATAGACCGCAAATCATCTACGCATCGTACTCTGTCAACATCAAGACAGTCATATAACGATAACGAAAGCGACAACGATTCCCGTTATCATTGGAGTTATCGTTCAAGTAATAATTGTAGCAGACAAAGCAGTCGATGCTCAAGCATCTCGAGAGATAGTGGCCAAGTTTTTAATGATAAGGAAACATTACAGAAAGATGATACCAAGCGAACCATAATAGGCTCAACAGGATTTGACGAACCATCATCGAATGCAAAACGTAAGTTATTTTTTTCAACTAAGATTTTGTTTGTATTCATTTGATATTTTAGAAAGTGTGTCGAGAAGTGTATCATCTGATGAATGGGAAATTATCCAACAAGTATCAGGTAGTGGTAAAAAAGCATCGTTGATTCGTAGAAAATCAGATCGAAAATTGACCGCCGTTAAAAAACTTTATAAAAATGAATCTACAGGAGATTGCTATCGAGAATTAACGGCACTCAAAATGTTGAAAGGTATGAAGAACTATGACTTATATTACAGAAACAAGACCAATTGCAGCAATATTTTTTTCGCTTTCATTGTAGGAGTACCAGGTGTTGTTCAATTAATTGAACCAGAAGATGAATCAAACAACTTTGAAAGAGACGCTGGTGGAGAAGTCGACTTGTGGATTATCTTGCAGCGGGCACCGACAAATTCCTTAAAGAAATTTATGGATCAAAAAAGAGGAAAATATGGCCACGATATTGAAGTATCAAGTGCTATAAAATTTGTTCAAAACTTAATAGGTATTGTCAAACAAGTGCATTCCCGTGGTATACTACATCAAAATATCGAGCCTGAAAATATCGTAATTAAGTACGAATTAAAAAATCAACCTATTGATAAAGTCAATTTGACATTGCTGAATTTTACTCAAGCTTATATAAAATCGAATGAATTGACTCATATCAATCATGACGAAGGAAATCATTGGTATCAGTCACCGCAAGCATATATTCAATCGTTCAAGAATAGTGCCATAAATGATGCATCGGCTATTGTTGCTATTCTTCTCTGGTTATTGACGGATGAAATTCCTCAACATCATGGAAATATACTCCCTCATCATCTACTTGAAATACATAGCAGAATTGATCGAAAAATTTCAAATGCTGTCGACTTTACAAGTATGTAACAGAGATGAATTAGTTTTCATATTTTTTTTTCTTGATCTCGAAATTAATCGCGACACAGATACAGTCATATTCGATTTCGCCTGAAAACAAAGTTATATTATTTTTCTTTTATCTAGATCGCAACCAATTGAAAACATATGTAATTGATACATTCAATCGTGCTTTTGGTTTCCCCAATTATGAACCGTGGACAATCGAAGAGTTAGACTGTCGAATCGAGTCAATTTTGGAATTATTAATATCGAGCGATTCAAAGCGAAACACAATTGAAAATATTTTCCAGGATTTACTTCATTTGGCAACATTACCTAAGCTCATGTCAACAGCAAGCGATCATCCTCCTGCTATTCAAAAAGCTGCCGATGCATTTGCTCAGGCTAAACAAGAATTCTATAAATCAAATCAGGATCGATATGTATGGTACGATGGGTATTGCACATGGCTGCATAATAAACAAAATTCAGTCGATGAATATCGGCATGATGATATTCTAACATATTATTGGCGTAACCAAAATTATTCTATTATAACTATATGTTTCGCAAGTATCAACGATGAAGGTAGAGTTATAACATTATCAATCGGCAGTACTGTTCAGGGTAAAATGATTCGAATTCCACTTGGACAGTATTCGATTGCTCAGGATTATGTCAAAGAATTACAAGAAACTTTCACTATGGAACTTAGGAATCTTCTTCTATCAATATATAATAAACAGAAAAGTGGTGCAACAGTAAAAACAAGATCTTAATAAGCTGATTGGCTGTGCCAACATCTTCCATAAAAACAAAAAAACGTTATCTAATTACTATTTCTAAACTTAAAAAATCTGAGATCTAATATATAAAAATAAATTCTATTGTATTTTTTGTTTTTTATTTTCTAATTTATAGAGTGTCATTGAACAAAATAAAAATGTGATCATCTTAATATTTCTCTTCTCGCATGTACCGAAATGTTATTCAATTAAAAATGAAGTCTTTACTCTTGTATGAACTTGAATCTGTGTAAAAATGAACAAAATAATATATAAAAAACTTGAACCGAATTTTTTGAAAATCTAATTTAGTGTTGATAGATCCGAATTTAACAGTCTGATTTCAACGCCAGGCACTTATAAAAAATATTGATGAACATTTGAAATGCAACAAAAATGATGTTTTTAAATTATTTTATAACTACGTTATTTAATTATATCTGCAGCTGGCAGGACGCATTTTGAGACTGTAAATTCAATATGTAATGATGAGTAATAGCCTCATTACAGAGGCCAAAACAGGCCGCGTCTTCGAGGCCTGTCAACGTTTTTCAAGCTAATACAATAATGACGAGAGACTAGAAACTAGAGGTACACACAGAGCACCGAGTGTACTTTTATACCTGGAGGTAACCGATCTGTCATAGGCATAGAGCACGAATTTCGGACCAGTACTTATCAGAGGTTCAAGCAATTTTTGGCCTGTTGGCCTATCTGAACCTGCTAGTTTCACTGCTCAGAAAATCCGGGTCTATGCTTATGATAGGCCGGTTACCTCCAGGTATAAAAATACACTCGGTGCTCTGTATGTACCTCTAGTTTCTAGTCTCTCATCATTATTGTATTAGCTTGAAAAGCGCTGCCAGGCCCATAGGCCTCGAAGACGCGACCTGTTTTGGTCTCTGTCTCATTATACCAATTTTAATAGATAGATACATGCCGAGTCAACAAATCCTTGGGCTACAACTGTGATTACTGTCATATATAGGGGTGTCACATTTAAATTTAAATTACGTTGTTTGAAATTCAAATTAGTTAACTTTTGAAAACTAGTAGATAAACATAGTTTTTGATTTGATTGCTACTATTTAAAGTTAAATTTGAGTATGTTTCCTGTTTTCTAAAGTTAAAGCTAGTCATTCTTCTACGAATTGTGCTATTAAATATTTTTTATGGCTATCTCAGTACATCGAAGAAGAAAGGTGACGGATCCTACATAATCTGTAGAGAAATTTTGACTATTATGAACAAATATTAACCTAAAATACTAGGTTCTCCGTTAATTTAGTATTTACTACTGCTAAAGTCATTTATTCTCCTCGTAGCAATGATGTGTATCCATTCAAGCAATTTATTAAATTTAAGATTTAAATTTAAAAAATTTAAATTTAAATGATTTTTCAGCTTAAAAATTAAATTTAAATTAAATTTAACTTCTGAAAATTTAAATTTTATTTTAAATTAAATTAACTTTTCACGAAGTTAAATTTAAATAAAATAAACTGTAAATTGACACCCCTACTGTCTGTACTAATATAACGGATTTTACTAAAATTTTTATCTCAGATATAAGGTATCAAATTAAGGTTATAGAAATATTTTTAAGGTTCGAAACGTTTCCTTTAAAACTTATAGATGTTGCAAGTGAAGGTAGGCGAATATGGAGACGACTGAGCATTTCAATGAAAATGCGTCCTTTCACAAACAAAAAACAACAGAAGCCTACAAATTTCACGATAATTATGCCAGATGTTGGTTTCTATATGACTAAATATCATGTCTGTAGACTCTTTGTAGGGGGTTCTACGTAGTTTTTGAGGAGTACGTTGGTATAGGTCTTAAACGATTGCTCAATTTCTTCTCATTCTAACAACTTCGGAAGATGAATGCCGTGTAGTATAGATCAGTAATCACTTCCATCAATCTTACCCTTCTTTATTGACATTGCTGATTAATGTCGATAGTAAAGTATCATCTACAGAATCTCGAAACCATATCAATTATACACATTCACTCTCCGCTGATGTAGTCATATTTGTTTTATGGAATAATTAAAAGCACAAAACATTGCTTGAAAGTTGCAGATGAAAGGACAAATAAATTTTTAACAGAACGCAGTGAGACATTTATTTACTTCCATGAGTACCCTAGTGAAAGTACTCGTCCAGCGAGTATGACTTTTCAGCATGGGTACTCAGATTACTCGAATGAGAACTCGATGAATTTTCTGTGTAACAATACTTTTCGTGTACTATGACGAGTACTCCGATGAGTTTTCTCCCTAAGAATTATTCGTACACGAAAATACGAGTACTCGAGGTAGTACTCATCGACATGTTTCCTAACGCGTTCAGTAAAACATCTATGCAGTAGGATGCAGGAAAATAATATAATATTGCGTAATTAAGAACAACTGTATAATGAACCAAAATTTTGGAAAAACTCTTTAAACAAATTATCGATTTCATTCTCCATATCTTGTGATGAGTCATTCATGTGCCATAGTCAATTGACTATTTAGAGAATAGAAAAACAAATCCATTTCATTTCAGCTATTTACATCTCGAGTAAGACTAAATATTTATTTGAGATTACAAAATTATTTGTTATATTTTAAAGCTTAAATTAAAGATGAAATGTCGTTTTAGATAAAATTAAATTTTTTTAGAAAAATTAATGAAACAAGGCGTATGAAAAACATTTTTCACAAAATTATAAAATTCAACATTCTGAAGATACATACATCTATCATACAGAAGATAGCTCATCGATCTTTTATTTGTTACTTAACGATAATAGTTTTCGATTTAAAATGTTCGTGTTTTTTGTAACGATATAAAGTGAATGTGTATTGTTAACGCGTATCTTAATTAGATCCATAATTTATTTCTCATTTGTGCTAATTTTTGTGTTTGCATATGTTGTAATGTTTTCAATAGAGATTTTTATTTAGTTTTTCTTGCATTCTGTTGATAAATGTTTTATCTCTATGTCATAATTGAAAAGCATTTTAAGAGAATAAAGCAATTCGTTTCTGAAATTCTTATCGTGCACGTCACTGTTCTATCATCAGTTTTTAAATAAAATAAATTGAACGTATTAGAAAGATGCAGAACAAAATATAGATGTCTGAGTATTTTACAGAAACCCACCAGAGTACTCAGGAAATGTATGATCAGTACTCGCAAAACACACGAGTTTACAGAGCGAGTACTCGATAGTCGTACTCAGATACTCAGATCTTACCACGAGTACTATTGACGAGTACTCAAGCCCACGAGTATTCATCAGTTCTCGCGGCATTTTGTAGCGTGAGTACTTTTTGAGTATTCGCTGGGTGAGTACATTCACTAGGGTAATGACGTCATACTGAGAAGGAGGCAAAAAAAGTACTATTTTTGTTGGAAAAAATCAAGTTAAATAAATCGTGTGGAATGAGCGTGAGCCTCACGCTGCGAGACTGAATCTGTGCTGGCATGTGAAACGTCCTCCTTTTCCTCCTTTCTGTCACCTAAATTGTGGAATCAGTATTTTCAATATTTTAAACAAAAATTTTGGTGATTCCACAGCTCAGAAGATCTTTGAAATGATTGAGTGCAACACTGCAACAAAAAGTTTCTTTTAATTTTCAATGAAAATCTATTCTTATTTCGAGTTTTCGACAACTTAAAGTATCATCTTCACGTATTAACTCATAGGAATTTTAAAAGATTATATATAATGTACATGTGTGTCACAGGCATAATTCGTTTTTTAATTAGGCGCAAGATTTGAGAGAACTGTTTATTTGATTTATATTTATAAATACTTCTTAATACTCATTCAGAATCGCCGAAAACTTTTAATTGTTACACAAACATTTGCTTTTAATAGCATATCCACAATTTTTATGCTGATTTGATAATTATCGTGAATCAACTGCATTAAATTAAAAGAAAAAATTAAATAAAAAAAATTCTGGTCGATTATATAGGGGAAAACGTTTAATAAGTGATTTCTAATCAACTGTAACAACATTCTGCATTAAATTAAAAAAAACTTAAAATAAATTAAATTAAATATTTTTTTTTCATTTTTTTCTTTTTTGGTCGGGCATATAAAGAGAAATGCTTATTTTATTTAAAAATGATTTTTAATTATCATGTGCATTGAGAAATGTCAACAAAGTTGAAATAATATATAATTATTTCATTAAATAATATATGAGTAATCTTTGTTTTGATTCATTAATTTGAAAAAAGTTGTAAATTAATGGAAAAAGCTGTACATTAATGGAAAAAGGAAACAATCTAATAAAATTTAAAAAACGTTTTTCTTTTCAATACTAGTTTTAGTTGTACATCAGACGCGCCTTGTTCTCGCATTATATCACTGTCGTATTCAACATTTTACATATAGTGGCTACTAACTGATATTGTATACCGTAAAATCTTTGCTGATTATCTATTTTTGTTTTGTACTAGCAATAAGATCTAACTTAGGATTTGCAAGGTTTTTAATAGAAAAAAAAAGAAAAATTAAATTGATTCTTCTAAACTTACTAAAGTTAGGAGAACAATTATCTCTTTCAAAATTAGATAATATAGCTCTATAACAGGTTTATAAATTTATTATCACTTCATCGTTTCAGTAATTGTACCTATCGGTAACTACTATATCGTTTTTTGTAAACAATCATGCATGCTCTATGGCATTTTAAAAAATTAAGAAACTGAATCATTACTATCAGGAATAAAAAATTATCCTAAAAGAACAAATTTTGTTTTGAACAATCTGACTTTGAAAAGCATGAGACTACAGAAAGAATTACATGCTGAATCACTAATACCATTTGAAGTATAGCCTATATCGAAATCTACATCTTAGATTGAAGTTAGTTTTTTTCCGCACTATAGCGAACTCTACATCTTCCAAAATTTGAGTTACCTTTTGTGCACACGATAGAAAACACAATAGGTTGCAAACTTGAATGCAACTTGATTGAAAATTGGAAG